CTGGGAGGCAGGACATTGTAGCCAGCTGGGAGGCAGGACATTGTACCCAGCTGGGAGGCAGGACATTGTACCCAGCTGGGAGGCAGGACATTGTACCCAGCTGGGAGGCAGGACATTGTACCCAGCTGGGAGGCAGGACATTGTACCCAGGTGGGAGGCAGGACATTGTACCCAGCTGGGAGGCAGGACATTGTACCCAGCTGGGAGGCAGGACATTGTACCCAGCTGGGAGGCAGGACATTGTACCCAGCTGGGAGGCAGGACATTGTACCCAGCTGGGAGGCAGGACATTGTACCCAGCTGGGAGGCAGGACATTGTACCCAGCTGGGAGGCAGGACATTGTACCCAGCTGGGAGGCAGGACATTGTACCCAGCTGGGAGGCAGGACATTGTACCCAGCTGGGAGGCAGGACATTGTACCCAGCTGGGAGGCAGGACATTGTACCCAGCTGGGAGGCAGGACATTGTACCCAGCTGGGAGGCAGGACATTGTACCCAGCTGGGAGGCAGGACATTGTACGCAGCTGGGAGGCAGGACATTGTACCCAGCTGGGAGGCAGGACATTGTACCCAGCTGGGAGGCAGGACATTGTACCCAGCTGGGAGGCAGGACATTGTACCCAGCTGGGAGGCAGGACATTGTACCCAGCTGGGAGGCAGGACATTGTACCCAGCTGGGAGGCAGGACATTGTACCCAGCTGGGAGGCAGGACATTGTACCCAGCTGGGAGGCAGGACATTGTACCCAGGTGGGAGGCAGGACATTGTACCCAGCTGGGAGGCAGGACATTGTACCCAGCTGGGAGGCAGGACATTGTACCCAGCTGGGAGGCAGGACATTGTACCCAGCTGGGAGGCAGGACATTGTACCCAGGTGGGAGGCAGGACATTGTACCCAGGTGGGAGGCCGGACATTGTACCCAGGTGGGAGGCCGGACATTGTACCCAGCTGGGAGGCAGGACATTGTACCCAGCTGGGAGGCAGGACATTGTACCCAGCTGGGAGGCAGGACATTGTACCCAGCTGGGAGGCAGGACATTGTACCCAGCTGGGAGGCCGGACATTGTACCCAGGTGGGAGGCCGGACATTGTACCCAGCTGGGAGGCCGGACATTGTACCCAGGTGGGAGGCCGGACATTGTACCCAGGTGGGAGGCAGGACATTGTACCCAGCTGGGAGGCAGGACATTGTACCCAGGTGGGAGGCCGGGCATTGTACCCAGCTGGGAGGCCGGGCATTGTACCCAGCTGGGAGGCCGGGCATTGTACCCAGCTGGGAGGCCGGACATTGTACCCAGCTGGGAGGCCGGACATTGTACCCAGGTGGGAGGCAGGACATTGTACCCAGGTGGGAGGCCGGGCATTGTACCCAGCTGGGAGGCCGGGCATTGTACCCAGCTGGGAGGCCGGGCATTGTACCCAGCTGGGAGGCCGGGCATTGTACCCAGCTGGGTGGCAGGACATTGTACCCAGCTGGGAGGCCGGGCATTGTACCCAGCTGGGAGGCAGGACATTGTACCCAGCTGGGAGGCCGGGCATTGTACCCAGCTGGGAGGCAGGACATTGTACCCAGCTGGGAGGCCGGGCATTGTACCCAGCTGGGAGGCAGGACATTGTACCCAGCTGGGAGGCCGGGCATTGTACCCAGCTGGGAGGCCGGGCATTGTACCCAGCTGGGAGGCAGGACATTGTACCCAGCTGGGAGGCCGGGCATTGTACCCCGCTGGGAGGCAGGACATTGTACCCAGCTGGGAGGCCGGGCATTGTACCCAGCTGGGAGGCCGGACATTGTACCCAGCTGGGAGGCCGGGCATTGTACCCAGCTGGGAGGCAGGACATTGTACCCAGCTGGGAGGCAGGACATTGTACCCAGCTGGGAGGCCGGGCATTGTACTCAGCTGGGAGGCAGGACATTGTACCCAGCTGGGAGGCCGGGCATTGTACCCAGCTGGGAGGCCGGACATTGTACCCAGCTGGGAGGCCGGGCATTGTACCCAGCTGGGAGGCAGGACATTGTACCCAGCTGGGAGGCCGGACATTGTACCCAGCTGGGAGGCAGGACATTGTACCCAGCTGGGAGGCCGGGCATTGTACCCAGCTGGGAGGCAGGACATTGTACCCAGCTGGGAGGCAGGACATTGTACCCAGCTGGGAGGCAGGACATTGTACCCAGCTGGGAGGCCGGGCATTGTACCCAGCAGGGAGGCAGGACATTGTGCCCAGCTGGGAGGCCGGGCATTGTACCCAGCTGGGAGGCCGGGCATTGTACCCAGCAGGGAGGCAGGACATTGTACCCAGCAGGGAGGCCGGACATAATGGTGTTGTCTGGGAGTAAGCCAGAAGTGAGGTGCTTCCCAACAGGTGCAAAGCAGGTTAATTAATTATTGGTTCTATCTGAGAATGTTAAAAACAAATTAAGAAAACTTCTTTACTTCTTTAAAATTATTTACTTCGTTTTCTGTGGAATTATATAAACAAATAATATTTCTCAGGTATACATGTGGTAATAATTATACTTCTCATGTATATATGTGTCAATGAATCACATACATATAACGCTTCTCAATGACTCTTCACTACCATTATTGAATCTGATAAACGACTCTTAGCGTCTCTAATAGATCCATTAACGACCCTTAGCGTCTCCTCATTAGAGCTATGAACGACCCCCTCCTTAACTTATTTTCCACAGAGCCATTAACGACCACAAGACAGCACAACATTGACAGAAGGAAGGTTGCCAGAGAGCACCTGACCCTGTCCTTGTGAGAAGTGCTGTGGTAACTGGAGACAACGAGCTCTTGAAGGGCAGAACCACCTCACGGAGTGACGTAAATACATTCCCCATGCAGAAGGAGAATTGGGTTGTTAGGACACTGTGAGAAAATGTGAAGAATGAATGTGAGGAGTAAAAGTTAGAAGAGAATGAATGACTGAAAAGGTGGTTTTTGAACAGAAAAAAAACCCTGGACAGGGATAGTCCTTAGATAGTCTTGAGACCTGCTATGTGGAAGATATTAAGAAGGTGCGACTAGCGTGAGACAACCCGTTCTCGCAAATTTAATAAGTCAATATTGACTTATTAGTTGCGTGCATAGGTGACATACTAAACATAATAGTTTCCCTTGAAAAGCTTCATAGAAAACACCGACCTTACCTAACCTACTTAGTATGTTAAAATAAGCATCTTATTGCTTCGTAATTACAATTGTTACTTAACTTATTATAGGTATAGGTTAGGTAATAATTGTAATTACGAAGCAATAAGATGCTTATCTTAACATACTAAGTAGGTTAGGTAAGGTCGGTGTTTTTTATGAAGCTTTTCAAGGGAAACTATTATGTTAAGTATGTCACCTATGCACATATTTAATAAGTCAATATTGACTTATTAAATTTGCGAGAACGGGTTGCGTGAGAACAGTAGGAAGGCTGGGAAGAAGTAGGCCTGGCGGAGAGGGAGAACTTACTTGAGCCTATGGAGTAGTTTCCAGATTGTGTTCTTACAGACTACCCTCAGAGTCCGTTTTCAAAGGCAGTCTTTTATTAACTGTAGGATGGAGCCAGATACCAAGTGCTTGAAGCACTGGCTGTATTTACCTAAATTTACCTCAGGGTAAACTGATCAAGTGGCCTTGGTGGGGACAGGAAGCCGACGGTCCCCCATTAACCTGATGACTTTTGGTATGGGATTATTGTCTGAAGATTTTTTCCAGTAATTGACAGCAGTAATATTGGTCTGTAGTTGCTGAACTCTGAACGTCTCCTCTAGTGGAGTGCAACTACATCGACCTCCTGCTCTAGACACTGTAGAGGCACCAGGGACTGACAACTAAGCTTGAAGCTTGTGGTACCCATGGCTCCGGTCACTAACTCACTGGTCTCCAGTGAGTTAATGAGACAGTGAGAGTTAGAGAGATAATAAAATGTTGTTATCTCTCTTAACTCTCTCTCTCTCTTGTCTCTGTTTCTGTCTTTGGCTCTTGCCTCTTCCCCCTGCACTGTTCATAGTTAATAAGACTTACGACACGTGGTTAAGTCTTAAGTCTAACATTAACGTAATCAGGCGCAACTGTTTGTGCCTCTGACAGCTGTCAACTCTGCCGTTGGTGTCTAGTACAGGTACTCTAACACACAAGTTTAGCGTCTCTAAATAATCTCTATATTTTTAGTTGCACACTAAACATGAACAATGGTGCACACAAACATGAACAATGGTGCACACAAACATGAACAATGGTGCACACAAACATGAACAATGGTGCACACTAAACATGAACAATGGTGCACACAAACATGAACAATGGTGCACACTAAACATGAACAATGGTGCACACAAACATGAACAATGGTGCACACAAACATGAACAATGGTGCACACAAACATGAACAATGGTGCACACAAACAAAAGACCTCTGGCAAAACCAAATCATTCATGTACAAACACAATTCGCATCACTGGGTCAAGATTAATGGTGCATGAACATGAAAAGTGCACACAAAAATGGTGCAAAAAAAAAATGATTTCCAATTGGTGCACACAAACATGAACAATGGTGCACACAAACAATGGTGCACACAAACATGAACAATGGTGCACACAAACATGAACAATGGTGCACACTAAACATGAACAATGGTGCACACAAACAATGGTGCACACAAACAATGGAGGCATCAGGTCTGAAGGAAGCGTGTCCAATTAATCGTCTCCGTTCAACCGCGTGAATGGAACCCGGCACCTCTTGACTGTGACAAGGATGTTTCGTTTGTTTTTTGCATAAAATAATTATGCAATTTTTTTTGCATAATTTAATTAGTTTAAATAAAATAATTATGAAAGGGACGATTTTCTATATCCGATTCGACCTCAAGTCCTAGGATCCGCGTGCTAGGATCAACGTCCTAGGCTCCACATCCTAGATAGGATCCAAGACTAGGATACAAACGGCTGTGAGGAATTCAAATGACGACACACATTGATAAGGAAGGCTTACCGGAATTGATATTCGCTGGTAATAATCTTGTATTGTTGAGCTGATGTCAGGCCACATACAAAACAACGGAAGCAAGTACAAGAGCGGCGTAAAATAATCAAATAAAACCGAACAAGGTTTTGTTTTGGGTGTACTTTTGTTTTTGTTTTTGGGTGTAAATACGCATAAAACCGAACAAGGTTTTGTTTTGGGTGTACTTTTGTTTTTGTTTTTGGGTGTAAATACGCCTGAGTGTTTACGGCGTATTTTGTTGTCAACACGTCGGCGTTCTCGCGTCTCTCGTTATGGGTGCTGGGAACAACCCAGGTGTTGTTATGGGTGCTGGGAAAAACCCCATGTGTTGTTATGGGTGCTGGGAACAACCCAGGTGGTGTTATGGGTGCTGGGAACAACCCAGGTGGTGTTATGGGTGCTGGGAACAACCCAGGTGGTGTTATGGGTGCTGGGAACAACCCAGGTGGTGTTATGGGTGCTGGGAAGTTTTCACAGCTGTACCAGGTACTAACACCTGCAGGAACGTCGACAAGTGAGCCAGGCACTAACACCTGTCAGAGGCGCCAGCGCTCGACACAATACACCTGCTGAGGTATTGAGCCGACAGCTGTTGGCTGCGTAAGGCGGCAACGCCGAGTCTGGTGGCACTAGTCTCCTGCCTCTGCCAACACTGGCAGGGTGTGAACCTTTGCCAACACTGGCAGGATGACAGCTTTTGCCAACACTGGTCGAATGTCAACGTCTATCAACACTGGTAGTGTTAACCTCTGCCAACACTGGTAGTGTCAGCGTATGCCAACACTGGGTAGTGTCAGCCTCCTTCACTGACAGGGGTGGGCGGGGCGCCCCTACACAAGGTATTATGGCTCCGGATATACACAATATCCGGAGCCATTAAGAGCCGTTTTATCCGGAGACCTACGACGCCTCACCATCCGTAATGTGACGCTACAAGACGTCTTCTGAGAGACAGATCACGGCGGCTCACAGGAGCAAGCTCGCACTAATATATCATGGATCTCTGTGCATGTGAAAGCACACAGGAATTTTGTGACTGACGATATCATTAATGTGTCTTAAAACACTTTGGTTTCCTCGCCAAAGCTTATTTAGAGCTCTGATTCTATGCCATTACCTGTGACGAGAAAACCAACACGACACAGATTAGTCGAGCAAACACACTAACAGGAAGATGGACCAGCTGTTGAGCTGGAGGTGGTTGAGGGCGTGACGGGCAGGACGCAGCACACGACAGCCTCCACCTCCGACCACCACCAAGGTCGTCGGCGCACTGAGTGCCTCATTCATTCTCATCCTTTCTGGGAGCTGGTCGATTCGTACACAACCGTTTCGGATAACGTCGGTTCGGTACACAAAAATAAGTTCGCTCACTGATTATTTTGTATACACGAACCGTTTCGTATATACATATGCGCTGGCTTGTGTTCGCTGCTGTTCTCGTCTTCAAAGACAATAAAATGACTAAAAACGAGGCAATAGAAGTTGATAATAAGTTAAGAATATGAAAAAATAGATGGCACATTATCATATAATTAGCCTATGTCTTCAAATAATATGTTTGTTACACTCTATTAATTTGTCCTTATACAATTTAATGAATAAAAAGGCTTTCCTGCCTTAACATCTTTATATTATGATAATCACATCAACATATCTGCATTAAAATCAGGGAGGAAATCCGGTTTTGGCCCCACCACCTCCTCCCGTGTTCCCACCGTCTACCACTCTGCAGGCGTTCACTTTACAATGTTTTTCTCGACAGCTTTATTTCCTTCGTTTCCGAAATGTTTTCTTTAGCTTGTATGATGTAATATGCATGAATAGAGCTATGAATAATAATAATAATAATAATAATAATAATAATAATAATAATAATAATAATAATAATAATAATAATAATTTTTATGTACATACATAAAGAGATATGGCTTTATGATAAGCTAGTACATACAAGCCTAAAGCCACTATTACGAAGCGTTTCGGGCAGAAATGATAGAGCTGATAAGTTAGCCAGAGAATCTGCCTTTAAAGGAGCCGTTGAGTGTAACCTTGGAGTGTCAATGAGCAATCTGAGAGCAGCAGTACACCGAGAACTTCAACAAGATCATGTAGATCTGAGGGAAAGTGAAATTGACATTAGCAATTCCATCTATCATCATACTATCATGCAAGTGGAGCCACACATCTATGGATCATCCAATAAAATCAGCAGACTTCTAGATGTTACTACTGCTCGGCTTAGACTCGGTTACAAGTATCTCTGGGAATTCTCATTATCTGCTGATGTAGACCTGACCAAATGTAAACTGTGTCAACAAAATTATTCGCACACCCTCCGTCACTATGTGATTGAGTGCGAAAACATACGTTAATTTAGAGACAATTTTATAACTAATGTTCCAACGATGTGTAAATATTTCATTCAAAATGATCTGCTACCAGAAATTTTAGCCAAATATCCCCAGTTTGCTAACTGTAGGTAGTAACTAAGTGATTGTAACCTATCCACCGCTGCCCACTTGGGGGGGGGGCGGTGTGCAGGACAAACATATAAATTGTGACACTAGCTCTCTACATGTCAGTTGCTTAATTTAGAAACTGTACTTGTGGTCGATCTCGAGCCCATTGTTGATTTGACGACTTATATTGAATTTTGTAACTAGCTCATCAAGATTGTAACTTGCTTAGCTAAATAAATTGTGGGGTTCAGTCCCTGAGCCCATTATGTGCCTCTGTAACCCTTTCCACTACCGCCCGCAAGATGGGTATGGGGTGCATAATAAATGAACTAAACTAAACTATGTTGTAATAAACTATTCCTACAGTTACAGTTGTTCCTCCTTGTGAAGATGCTTACAAAATTGTGCTTTTAAGGGCGGCAAAGTTCAGCCTGTCCAGGGCGGCCCCGGCAGCCCTTGGAGCTGCCCTCGGGGCGGCCCAGGCAGCTCCCAGTCTCACGCCCTAGCTTGTTCCACCTTTGTGGGACCTTAGTATAGGCCTAACATGTATATATACACTGGCTGCCTGTCCCCCTTCACAGTGATGTATTATTAACTATTATAAATTGCTACAGTATACATTGCTAAAGCGAAAACAGAACAGTTTCGTCATAGGAGAGTCCTAGATTGGAATTCACTACCAAATTTCAATATCAAGTATTTTTTAGTGTGAAATGCTGTTATAATCTGCATTATTTGCTGTTTTAATAATATTACGGACTGATGTTTAATTTATTTGGAAATATATCACATCCCAACAAAGATCATTACATCCTAACTAGACATCTCAGAATGTTTGGTAATATGTTTATTGTTTGTGATATGTGTATATGTATGTATTAACACGATGTACTGAACGGGGTGAGAGTAGCTTGAGCTACCTCATCCCTTTGTGTGTATTTTACCTCAATAAACTTATTTCAATTTCAACTAGACGTTACATGATGATATCATCACTACTATCATCATTATTACTATTACATCATCATTACTATGTACTCTTAACCCCCCACATACCTTCTTGTATATAAATAAATAAATAAATATCCTCAACAGTAGATAAAAAAGTAATTGTAGAACTCCAGTTACCTAATACCAACAAGGTATAAAACTAGCTTATCACAAGCTAAGGGATTTGTAGATCATTGTTTAAAGGAAATTCGGAAGTAATAATAATACAGCTGATGCCATCTGTTGACAGAAAAGAACACTATCAACTAACTAGTCATTAGTAGCAATAAGATACAGCTAATGCCATCTGTTGACAGAAAAGAACACTATCACCTAACTGGTCATCAGTAGCAATAAGATACAGCTGACGCCATCTGTTGACAGAAAAGTACACTATCATCTAGCTGGTCAACATTAGCCATAAGATACAGCTGATGCCATCTGTTGACAGAAAAGAACACTATTAACACGCCAGCCTACTAAATACAGCTGGCGCCATCTGTTGCGTCGACCAGGAACTATCAACAGCCAAACAGCAGCCCATAAGGCGGGTTATTGTGCTCAAGTAGGAATTCTCGCGCTGGCATTTCATTGGTGGATGTTCGTTGTTGACATTCACCACAACAGCCAATCACAGGAAGGGATCCGCTAAAGGTTCCATGCACTTAATAAAACATCTTTGTTCAGCACACCAACCTTGCTTATGACATTCTGCTTTAACTTTAATCTACCCAAAAAGTGAAGTGTTAATTATTTAAAAGTATTAATAAAGTGAGAATTAAATATTGCAGGATATAACAGGTGTTACAGAAAACTGGCCTGCTGGCTACCTTACTTGTGACGTCATCAGTTTCCTTTCATTCATAGAAATAGTGTTGGCATTCCCTGCAACAGCCAATCACAAGAAGGTATTTGCTAAAAGCCCCGCCTCCTCAGAGCGGTTAGTACACCAATCTAGCTCATGGTTTTCTGTTTCACCACTTGTATATCCAAAATTTAAATTTCTCGATTACTATGGTAATTAAAAGTATGAGATAAAAAAAAGTTGTTATACAAAATGGCTAAATTCATTAAAGACAGCTCATAGTGGATTTTGTAATAGAGTTTAATGGGAGGGAGTGTTATACCATTATTCCTTTATACCTCCGTAATCTTCTTGAGATTTGCACCAAGATGACCCCATTCACAACCCTTTTGGGAGACGTATATACGCAGATAGATGGATTAGCCATGGGTTTATTTATATTTTTAATACAACAAAAGTGAATTATAATACAACAATATTATTATAATGTTTCGATTAATTCTAAGGCCCATTAATTTTTAGTGGGCCTTAGGGGCCTCCGCCTGTTATATCCTGCAATATTTAATACTCACTTTATTAATACTTTTAAATAATTAAAATTTCGCTTTTTGGGTAGATTAAAGTTAAAGCAGAATGCCATAAGCAGGGCTGGTGTGCTGAACAAAGATGATTTATTAAGTGGATGGAACCCTTAGCTGATCCCTTCCTGTGATTGGCTGTTGTGGTGAATGTCAACAAAGAATATCTACCAATGAGATGCCAGCGCGAGAATTCCTACTTGAGCACAACCCGCCTTATGGGCTGATGTTTGGCTATTGATAGTTCCTGGTCGACGCAACAGATGGCGCCAGCTGTATTTAGTAGGCTGGCGTGTTAATAGTGTAATTTGTTGTCAACAGATGGCATAAGCTGTATCTTATGTCCACTGTTGACCAGCCAGTTGATAGTGTTCTTTTCTGTCAACAGATGGCATAAGCTGTATCTTATGACTATTGTTGACCAGTCAGTTGTTAGTGTTCTTTTCTGCCAACAGATGGCATAAGCTGTATCTTATGACTACTGTTGACCAGCTAGTTGATAGTGTTCTTTTCTGCCAACAGATGGCATCAGCTGTATTATTACTACTACCGAATTCCCTTTAAACACTTGTCTATGAATAAGAGGTGGGAGACGCCCAGGTGCAGGGTGGGCGGGGTGGTGGGGTGGCAGGAGGTATACCGTATATACCAAACTAGAAATGCTCTACAAATCAAGGGACCCAGAATGTGGAGTGGTCTCCCCAATGATGTCAAAGGCTGTTCCTCTCTCAACCAATTTAAGAGTAAAACCAAGTACTGTACTAAATAGTTCAAGTTAAAGTATGTTTATTGAGACAAGAAAGAAATACATCTCAAAGGGATAGAGTAGCTTGGACTATTTCTACCCCCCCCCCCTGTACTACATAAGTAACTCCATGTAACCTATCTTACCCCTAAATGTCCACCCATGTCTTGCTATTTTTAAACAATGCTGTTTGTTCACCAACTTGTATAATTGTTCATTTCTGCCATGCCCCCCCCCTTTTTATTTTTTATTCATTTTTTCAACACAATTTATAATTTAATCCCAATTACTATTAAGTTTTAGTCTGTTTTTCCCCCACACCTTGCCCGGAACGCTGTGCGTATTAGTGGCTTTAGGTATTGTATGTACTACCTCTATCTATAAGTCCAACATTATGTTTGTAAATCAACTATGTATGTACTTTTCCTGAATGCAAAAATTAATTTAATAACAGTGATAGGGTGAGGCCGGCGGGAGCACCACTTACAGCCCCGCTCCTGTGCCAGGTAAGTCCACTACGGGCTCACCATAGCCCGTGCTACTTGCCCCGCTCCTGTGCCAGGTAAGTCCACTACGGGCTCACCATAGCCCGTGCTACTTGCCCCGCTCCTGTGCCAGGTACGTCCACTACGGGCTCACCATAGCCCGTGCTACTTGCCCCGCTCCTGTGCCAGTAAGTCCACTACGGGCTCACCATAGCCCGTGCTACTTGCCCGCTCCTGTGCCAGGTAAGTCCACTACGGGCTCACCATAGCCCGTGCTACTTGCCCCGCTCCTGTGCCAGGTAAGTCCACTACGGGCTCGCCATAGCCCGTGCTACTTGCCCCGCTCCTGTGCCAGGTAAGTCCACTACGGGCTCACCATAGTCCGTGCTACTTGCCCCGCTCCTGTGCCAGGTAAGTCCACTACGGGCTCACCATAGTCCGTGCTACTTGCCCCGCTCCTGTGCCAGTAAGTCCACTACGGGCTCACCATAGCCCTTGCTACTTGCCCCACTCCTGTGCCGGGTAAGTCCACTACGGGCTCACCATAGTCCGTGCTACTTGCCCCGCTCCTGTGCCAGGTAAGTCCACTACGGGCTCACCATAGCCCGTGCTACTTGCCCCGCTCCTGTGCCAGGTACGTCCACTACGGGCTCACCATAGCCCGTGCTACTTACCCCGCTCCTGTGCCAGGTAAGTCCACTACGGGCTCACCATAGCTCGTGCTACTTACCCCGCTCCTGTGCCAGGTAAGTCCACTACGGGCTCACCATAGCCCGTGCTACTTACCCCGCTCCTGTGCCAGGTAAGTCCACTACGGGCTCACCATAGCCCGTGCTACTTGGAACTTTTTGTTCCCAGTACCTGAATCTTAAACAACAACAACAACAGCCAACGGAGAGGGGGGTGTGTGATAAGCTGGAGGATGAAAGAATTCAGTCTAACTGCATTAAAGAAAAGCACGACCAGAGGGGGACATGATGACGAGATATAAGATACTGAGGGGAATAGAGAAGTGGAAAGATATATTTTTCCAGGTAAGGGAAAAGTAACCAGAAGTCCCAGACAGAAATCAGGAACACAGACGAGTCTGATACATAAGTAACTACTTGTACTTAAGGCTGGAGGCGAGGAAGTAACCTTTACTTATAATTTCAAAAAGAACAATTGCCATGAGGCGGAGCCCAAGAACTGGAGCTCCTCCCCCGCAAACTGGTGAGTCAGAGCGAGTTATGACTCAGCAGTGAGCTTGACAGCCAATCAATACTCAACTAGTAACGAAGCCTTTAACTGCTGCATCCCCAGAGCTGACAAGCTAACTAGGTGATCTGCGCACTAACAACGTGTCTTATATTGACAGTAGTTAGTGACACCGCATTTGTCCTGGTAGTTTATGCCTCCACACGTGTCCTGGCGCTTGATCCTCCTTCAGGAGCATTAAACCTCACTCACAGTGTTCGATCCTCCTTTAGGATCACAGAGACATCGCGGACTCTCCAGGAATCGATCTATCGTTCAGGGTCAGACACCAGCAGCATCTGCAGGCGTGGCCACATGGTCCTGGAAGATTTCATCTCTTTTCAAGTATCAGATGAACACTATCTCAACTAAATTTGTAAACTAAATTCAAACCAAGCTACTCTCAAAACGTGCACCCAAAACACTCACAAGCACTCACGCTCACAAGCACTCACAGCCACTCACAAACACCCACCAACACTGACAAGCACTCACAAACACTCACAAGCCAGCCACAAGCACTCACAAACGCCTACAAACACTCAGAATGCAGTTTCAACACAAGTAGGGCCCTAGGAGGGAGTGGGGAAGGGTACGTATCCTGGCTGTAGTGGAGCCACACCCCCAGCAACCACACCATAGTGACCCACACTACACAGTCTCTTGTTTGGTGAAGGGCTGAGGGCTGTCACCCTGGCGGAGGGTTATTAAGGCCACCACAACACCCTACCGACCCCCAGCAAGTGTAACTCAGTCCTGACCATTGTACAGGACTAAAGTATGCTCTCAGTGTATATGTACAGTATATGTATACACTGAGAAGCGGGGTATACCTCTCAGACTATACACCTCTGATATACCTCATACCTCCATGCTGCATCGTGCAACATTGCTCTGATAGACAGCAACAACGCCACATATTGTTCAGTGTTATCATATATAACTTTAAATACAACAAAATATATATCCCAGACCTTTTTTGAAGATACAATATAGAAATACAACAATACAACAGGATCTGTTTCACGGGAGAGTTAAATACAGGTAATAATTAGTGTTTTATTTGTTACATTAGTTCAGAAAATCACAGAGATTTTACAATAATTTTAGTTAATATTTCTCATTTTGTTTATCATGATTTTGAATTTACTATTAGGAAAGATTAAGACTAAAATAGAAAATTTAGAACAATGGGCTTTTGAACACACTTCAAGCTAATGTCGATTGTCAATGACACACACACACCCCTTGGGGGGGCCTCGTGGCTGAGTAGACAGCGCTCGTTAGTCGTAGTCCTAATAGGGACTGGGTTCCATCCCCGCTGCAGTGACCACCACCAGCTTCTCCTGCCTGGCCTGCTAGCTGCAGGGAGCTCCTGCCTGGCCTGCTAGCTGCAGGGAGTTCCTGCCTGGCCTGCTAGCTGCAGGGAGCTCCTGCCTGGCCTGCTAGCTACAGGGAGCTCCTGCCTGGCCTGCTAGCTGCAGGGAGCCCCTGCCTGGCCTGCTAGCTACAGGGAGCTCCTGCCTGGCCTGCTAGCTGCAGGGAGCTCCTGCCAGGCCTGCTAGCTGCAGGGAGCTCCTGCCTGGCCTGCTAGCTGCAGGGAGCTCCTGCCTGGCCTGCTAGCTGCAGGGAGCCCCTGCCTGGCCTGCTAGCTACAGGGAGCTCCTGCCTGGCCTGCTAGCTGCAGGGAGCTCCTGCCTGGCCTGCTAGCTGCAGGGAGCTCCTGCCTGGCCTGCTAGCTGCAGGGAGCTCCTGCCTGGCCTGCTAGCTGCAGGGAGCTCCTGCCTGGCCTGCTAGCTGCAGGGAGCCCCTGCCTGGCCTGCTAGCTACAGGGAGCTCCTGCCTGGCCTGCTAGCTGCAGGGAGCCCCTGCCTGGCCTGCTAGCTACAGGGAGCTCCTGCCTGGCCTGCTAGCTACAGGGAGCTCCTGCCTGGCCTGCTAGCTGCAGGGAGCCCCTGCCTGGCCTGCTAGCTGCAGGGAGCCCCTGCCTGGCCTGCTAGCTGCAGGGAGCCCCTGCCTGGCCTGCTAGCTACAGGGAGCTCCTGCCTGGCCTGCTAGCTGCAGGGAGCTCCTGCCTGGCCTGCTAGCTGCAGGGAGCTCCTGCCTGGCCTGCTAGCTGCAGGGAGCCCCTGCCTGGCCTGCTAGCTACAGGGAGCTCCTGCCTGGCCTGCTAGCTGCAGGGAGCCCCTGCCTGGCCTGCTAGCTACAGGGAGCTCCTGCCTGGCCTGCTAGCTGCAGGGAGCCCCTGCCTGGCCTGCTAGCTACAGGGAGCTCCTGCCTGGCCTGCTAGCTGCAGGGAGCTCCTGCCTGGCCTGCTAGCTGCAGGGAGCTCCTGCCTGGACTGCTAGCTGCAGGGAGCCCCTGCCTGGCCTGCTAGCTACAGGGAGCTCCTGCCTGGCCTGCTAGCTGCAGGGAGCCCCTGCCTGGCCTGCTAGCTACAGGGAGCTCCTGCCTGGCCTGCTAGCTGCAGGGAGCCCCTGCCTGGCCTGCTAGCTACAGGGAGCTCCTGCCTGGCCTGCTAGCTGCAGGGAGCTCCTGCCTGGCCTGCTAGCTACAGGGAGCCCCTGCCTGGCCTGCTAGCTACAGGGAGCCCCTGCCTGGCCTGCTAGCTGCAGGGAGCTCCTGCCTGGCCTGCTAGCTGCAGGGAGCCCCTGCCTGGCCTGCTAGCTGCAGGGAGCCCCTGCCTGGCCTGCTAGCTGCAGGGAGCCCCTGCCTGGCCTGCTAGCTGCAGGGAGCCCCTGCCTGGCCTGCTAGCTGCAGGGAGCCCCTGCCTGGCCTGCTAGCTGCAGGGAGCCCCTGCCTGGCCTGCTAGCTGCAGGGAGCCCCTGCCTGGCCTGCTAGCTGCAGGGAGCCCCTGCCTGGCCTGCTAGCTGCAGGGAGCCCCTGACTGGCCTGCTAGCTGCAGGGAGCCCCTGCCTGGCCTGCTAGCTGCAGGGAGCCCCTGCCTGGCCTGCTAGCTGCAGGGAGCGAGTACTGTTACTTCATTGATCCATCTTCGATGTCCGTTTTCTGTGTTTTCTTTTTTACAATGTATAGTACTTCAAGATGGTGGTGAGGGGGAGGGGGTAGGGTGGTGGATGTGGGGGGGGGGCAGCGTGGTACTCAGTTGTGCTTGCGGGGGTTGAGCTCTGGCTCTTTGGTCCCGCCTCTCAAACCGTCAATCAACTGGTGTACAGGTTCCTGAGCCTACTGGGCTCTATCATATCTACACTTGAAACTGTGTATGGAGTCAGCCTCCACCACATCACTGCCTAATGCATTCCACCTGTTAAGTACTCTGACACCTGAATAGGTTCAGGAACCTGTACACCAGTTGACTGACAATTGAGAGGCGGGACCAATGAGCTGAAGCTTGAACCCCCCCCCCCCCCCCCAAAAAAAAATTAGGTGACCAAGACCTGCTGAGCAAGCCCAGGACAGTGTAGCCAGCTCAGGGGTCAGGCCTTGGAAGAGGAGGTGACCAAGACCTGCTGAGCAAGCCCAGGACAGTGTAGCCAGCTCAGGGGTCAGGCCTTGGAAGAGGAATGGGCAGCATCACTGTAGAAAAGGAACTTGGTGTCGTCGCCTGGGTATCCCGGGGCACGGACGGGGCTGGACACGAAGGAGAGGATGCCGTGCAAGTAGCAGGAGGCCAGCACGAACGCCAGCACGGCCAGCACCACCCCCAGCGACCTCAGCATGGCTATAGGGGACACTTCTTGGTACGACGCTCCGCTTTCTCTGTAGACATCAACACTCATGTTAGCAGCGGTATGCGCGCCTCACAACACATGCGCCTCACAACACATGCACCTCACAACACACGCCTCCACGGTAAGGTTAGGTTAAGGTTTGGTTATATAGGTTACGTTAAGTTTCATTACATTTGGTTACAATAATATGGCGTATAATTGACAATAACGTGAAATATGGATTTTGAAAAACTATTTCAGTGTGCCCGAGGATTCCGTTTACATAAAACGAATTTTTCAAAGAAAAAGTTTTCAGCATTCAACTTTTATAGTTTAAACCAACGATTAATAATAAAATAAAGTTATACCGTGAGAATAATCTGTGTTTAGGACCAAGGTTCACTTCCCAGTTTACAAGTAGACTATTCACAGAGAGTAATCACACTAACGTGATGACCGAAACGTCGCCGTCTCCTCATATTCTGGTGTGAGTGGTTTAGTCATCATCTAGATAACTCTCCAGGTGATTTTAAGGGGCGGTTTGTTGCTCGAGGTAATGGACCTACAGTGAGGACGGACTCCACAACACACACCTAGCTCACAACTGTGAGTCAGAGGGACCTGGGGCCAGATTCACAAAGCAGTTACGCAAGTACTTACGAACCTGTACATCTTTTATCGATCTTTGGCGGCTTTGTTTACAGTTATTAAACAGTTAATGAGCTCCGAAGCACCAGGAGGCTGTTTATAACAATAACAACAGTTGATTGGCAAGTTTTCATGCTTGTAAACTGTTTAATAAATGTAACCAAAGTCGTCAAAGATCAAGGAAAGATGTACACGTTCGTAAGTACTTGCGTAACTGTTTCGTGAATCTGGCCCCTGAACTTCTGTGGTTCTTTCTTGTACCTGAGGTTCTGGGGCCAGATTCACGAAGCAGTTACGCAAGTACTTACGAACGTGTACATCTTTCCTTGATCTTTGACGGCTTTGGTTACATTTATTAAACAGTTTACAAGCATGAAAACTTGCCAATCAACTGTTGTTATTGTTATAAACAGCCTCCTGGTACTTCGGAGCTCATTAACTGTTTAATAATTGTAAACACAGCAGCCAAAGATTGAGAAAAGATGGACAGGTTCGTAAGTGCTTGCGTAACTTCTTCGTGAATCTAGCCCAACTTCTTCGTGAATCTAGCCCTGGCTACTTACCTGAGGTTCTGGCTACTTACCTGAGGTTCTGGCTACTTACCTGAGGTTTTCCTTTGAGGTGATGGTGAGGAACTTGATCCAGGCCACCACCATGATCACTGCCAGACACTCCCTGCAGGAGGAACAACATTACATGGAAACCAAAAAGAACTACGAAGTTCGTACAGAAGGCAAAGACGAATCCTGAAGATTCGTGTAGGTATATTAAGCAAAATTTGGGAGAAGTAAGGCCCATTAAAAAGGGAGATAGGTCATGGTTACTAATTTTATAAGTGTTATATGTAAGTACTTTGTACTTACAACAGAAGAACGTGTCATGTCTTCAGATGAATTCATCTCTGTAAGTGGTGGAAGGATTGACGTGTTTAGTGGTTAAACTGTACTTCACCAGTATTCACTATAGGCCTCATCAGTACTCACCAGGTCTCACGAGTACTCACCAAGCCTCGTGGTAGTCGAAGGGGCTTGGGTACCGGGAGCTGGAACTCTCGGTGTTGTCTGAGGTCATGACGAAGTTGGAGTTGTTCTTCACCATAGTTCTGATGAGTCTGATGATCAGGTAGATGAGGAAGGTCAGGTAGCACCCCACAGCCACCGACGTCACTGCCCGCACCACCACACTCTCTGTAACACACTCTATATTCAAATTCAAATTCAAATTTAACCTCCCGCTTATTTACCCCCCGAAATTTATCCACCCCGCACATCCATGCTGTCTGGCATCTCAATCCATCTAAAAAAAAAGAGGAGCCCTTTCCTCCTGTTCTCTTGACTTTGGAAATACTTTGAATTTCAAATTACACAAGAGTTTGTACTGTGAGGACTCATAACAGGACCGTTACATCATGGCAGCACTGTCTCACCGTCACAACACCCCCAAACACCATGATAACATCGTCACAACCGTTACAACACCGTTACTACACTCACAATATCCTCACAACACCACAACACCACAACAACAACCTCACAACTTACCAACCGCCCTCTGCCGTACTGTGAGGATGACCGTTAGAATGGCGGGAACCAGGAAGGTTGACTGAAGAGAACCCAATTATGAATAATTAAAAGTATCACCATTTATAAGTTATCATCATATATTATCAGTTATCACCAAATATTTTAGAAGTATATCAGCAAATAAATCTGTCAAAAACTCGGAAATTATATAGTTAAGTATTTTTAAGGATGGATAAGAAATAATAGGCTTCGTTCATTCAAGTTATCGTTTAGTGATTGTAAGATTAATGTGACACTCGTTCAGTGATTGTAAGATTAATGTGACACTCGTTTAGTGATTGTAAGATTAATGTCATGCTATTTTCCTGTGAATGTAAGCCTAATGGTATGCTTTATTCTTGTAATTATTAGCTTAGTGTTAATTAAGTTATCTTCCTATGATTGTTAGCTTGGCGTCAGGTTATCTTCCTGTAATTGTAAGCTTAGTAGTAGTGGTAGTGTTGGTTGTAGTAGTAGTGGAGGTTGTAGTAGTAGTAATGGTAGTTGTAATTGTGGTAGTGGTGGTTGTATTAGTGGTACCTAATACAGAAACAATACTCACCACCCAGATGAAGGCGTCAGGCCTCCCCACCTGAAGAGAGAGAGAGGAGAATATCAGTTGCTGACGTACACTTTAACTAAGACCAAAAATCCTCGCACTAGAAAATGGCAGCGGCTTGCGAAATTGACATAATGTCCCGCTTTTTGTTTTGGGTCCTCTGGTAGGTTATGATAAAGGAACTTTAGGCCTTGACTAGCCTGGAGGTAGGCCGTGACTAGCCTGGAGGTAGGCTGTGACTAACCTGAAGATAGGCCGTCAGGAGCATGATACAGGCGACGACAAGGTTGATGAAACGACCCAGGAGGTTCCAGAGAGCGACCATGGACCATTCCTGACTCCTTCTCTTCGGACTGGCCGCCATCACTCTGTTGCTGACCGGTTCTCCTCCCTGCTGACGGCTTCTGCTTCCTGCTGACCGGTTCTCCTCCCTGCTGACGGCTTCTGCTTCCTGCTGACCGCTTCTCCTCACTGCTGACACCTCTTATCCTGCTGCCCTGGCAAATGTCTCTCCTCTACACCCTCAGCTGGTACACTTATAAGGTGTAGCAGACCTACGTACAGCTACGCGATGCTAAAGATGTCTGCTGTTCACAAGTTAAATGAACATTTCCCCGGGTCAATATACTTGTTTCATCACTAGGGATCATCAATGTGTGAGGGTCCGCAGGGAACCTCAGACAGGCACAGGTTTTGTGGTCCGTGAGACGCAGTGACACAGCTCACCACAGCACACAGTGTGAGAGACACAGTTCGCCTCCACAGCACCGGACGTGGACTGCAGTAGCCAACCGGACCTTGGAAACGGACTCACGATGACCGCCGTATATAACAAGTTATCGCTACATAAACACCCTGAAGCCTCCCACACGTCATCAAAAACATTACTCCAACATTTACGTCATGTAAAATGTTTATAAATGAAGTAATTGACGGATGTTTTTGGGCTGAGTTTATGTGTTGCTATGTGTAATGTGTGTGTGTGTGTGTGTGTGGTCACCTATAGCAACCTACAGCCGGGCCCCGACACTACTACACTCTCTGGTACACCCCTGGTACACCTCTGATACACTTCTGGTACACCTCTGGTAGACCTGTTACCCCTTCAGCCACGTTATTGACTCATCATCTGCATACAGCTTTATAATCTTACATATAACTTTATAATTGCCCGAAACGTTATGCGTATTAGTGGCTTTAAGTATTGTATGTATTAGCTCTATCTATAAATCCAACATTATGTTTGTAAATCAATTATGTATGTACTTTTCGTGAATTAAAAATTTAATTTAATTTAATTTAATTGTCTACAGCCGAATTATGGCAACATCTGCATGTTAGACTATACCAATTCAGTTTAATTATGTTTTAGTCTTTAAAAATCTAAATTTCTCCTGAATCAGAATAAAAGTTTAAGAACGTTATATGTAGATTATAATCATAATTATTATAACATCATTTAGACATTGTAATTTCAATATTATTTAGGGTCTAATTGATATTGCCTTAGTATTTTGTAAAATAATATACAAATAGGCTTTAATGTCTAATTCACTGAATTGAAAGTGGTAACATGAGAGGGTTTCAGAGCGCCTGAAACCATAGATGAGATATTTTGACTGAATTAAGAACATTGTCATTAGTAATATTGGTACTGCCCGAAACGCTATGCGTACTAGTGGCTTTAGGTATTGTATGTACTAGCTCTATCTATAAATCAATCAGAATGTGTGTAACTCTGCATTTATGTATGTACTTTCCTAAATAAAATATTATTATTATTATTATTATTATTATTATTGGTATAATTGAATTTCCCGGTCAAGGTCTTTATCGTGTTTACGCCCTTACTTCCGGATGCTGTTCTCGACTTCTCTTAGTCTCATTTATCACCATCAGTATCTTATATTTTACTAACTATTATTTAAATATTAAGTAAAACTAACATTTAAACTTTTATTGTTTATTTAGAAACGGGTATACATTTGAAAAGTTTGTTAAAATAACTCAAATATGTTAAACTTGAGACGGACTTGAGAGGTGCCATAGTGTGTGAGAAGTGTCAGCAATGGATGACTACGAGAGCGTATTGCTTGTCAAGTCCGAGGTCTTCGTCTACAAAATACCTCCTCGAGCCACTAACAGAGGCTACAGGTAATGTACTCGCCTCTACTGCACCTGTCATGAGCTAAGTAACACAATATGGGGTGACGTAGAGGGTTTTATAAAGGTAGAAACTCTGACCAACTGCCCCTCTGCTGACCTTCTTGGGGGGCGTTGCAGCTCCTCTACTGCCACTTGACATTTAACTTGAGTCATTAATGTACTTGGCACTATACAAAAGCTCTGTGCTGCTTGTCCTTGTGTCAAGTATCATATAAGATTATGTCATGTGTAACGTGCTTGAAAGCTATTTCTGCAACTCGAGTTGTTTTTGTCTCAAGATTTTGCAAGCTAATTTCCCGTGATTGGCTTCCATTCTCTATTGAATATTGAGTTATATTATACTTTATTAGCGGTGTGAGGGATGTGTATGTCACTTGTCTAGGCAGGTAAAGCACCTTGGGTCTGGCCAGTAAGTAAATGGGTGAGAACAATTTATAACACAATTTATACCTAATCCCAATTACTATTAAGTTTTAGTCTGTACTTTCCCCCCCCCCCTCCACCTTGCTGAAATGCTATGCGTATTAGTGGCTTAGGTATTGTATGTACAGTACGAGCTCTATCTATAAATCTAATTTTGTTTGTAAATCATCTATGTATGCACGTTTCCTGAATAAAAAATTTGAATTTGAATGTATAATAATGAAATTTACTTAATGATCTCAAAGGATTAAGTAAAATATCAACTTTGTATATATTAACTGTTGTAACCCACACCTTGTGACCAGACAGATCTTAAACCCTTATCAGGTTTCATTGTTTTCTCTCATGGCCATTATCTGCATAAGAAACATTTGTATATATTTTCCAGAGCAGCAGATTGGAACCTCGGAACCCCAGACTGGACTGGACGTATGCGGCTCGTTAACAAAAAAAATGAGTGTATCGTCAAACTAGAAGACAAGACGACGGGCGAGCTGTTTGCCAAGTGTCCTATCGATAAATACCCAGGAGTGGCCATCGAATCTGTTACAGATTCTTCACGTTATTTTGTTCTTAGAATACAGGATGAAGGAGGTAATGTTACAGACTTTTGATTAAGATTTCTTTGTCAGGGGTACAGCATATTCCTAAGATGAATGGCTGGTTTCAAGGGTAAAGGTCTACACTGAATTTGATTTGATATTTTAAAAATTAACTGACTGAAAATTACTGTACAGTACTGTAGTTTTAACCACAAAAATTCTTTAATATGCAGTAAATGCAAACAAGAAATTCCAAGATATAAAAAATGTTTGATGTATATGGTACAAATATAATAAAAATCTAAAATTTTTATTTTTTACATGAACACTATTATTATTAATTGACAAAAAATCTTCAGTTCTTTTTCTGTATGAGCTCCTTTGATGCTACATGACAAGCTGCACTCAATTCATTCCCTGCCAGACTCTTGAGTCATATGAGTCTTCCTGGGACCAGAGGCCAAAACCAGAGGCATCCTGGTCTTTAGTTTGGTCTGAGTGTTTCCTCTACTCAGGTATTGGTTACCTCTTGGTCCAGGATTGTTTCTTCAAGGACTTGGTTTTCATGGCCCTCATTCCTTATATCTTGGTTGGGGAGCTTCACGCTCTCCTCTGGAAGTTAGTGTTATGCTCTTTTGGTCCTGGGAGTCATTTTCTTTGTTTATAGCCCTGTCCATCCTTTCTGGCCAAGAATGAGATGGCTGGCTTCCTGAGGAGCCCTTTGGTGATTGATGCTTGGTTGGTTTTGCCAGGGGTGTCACATTATGTCTGGTTGAAGCCAAATGACATTACCTTGCCATGCTACTAATGGTGTGTGTGGGAGAACACTGTTGTGTATCTAGAGTCCTTGGTTCCTTGTTCCAGAGCATGTTTGTCTGTGTCTATAGTGTCAAGTTTAGCCAACCTGCAGTCGACCCTAAGGCCCATGAGGTTTGTAATTTTATGGCTCTGCTGGCAGCTTTATCGAATATGTCTTGGGCAAATATTCAGGCCCAGGGATTTGGTAGTCAAACAGGGTTCTGGCAGCTCATTACTTTGTGAACATTCTTTGTATGTGTGGTTTTTGTGACCTTGGGGGCATTTTCTGGAGCTCTCCTCTACCCCCTGTTGAGTACTGTTTTGCTTTTTCGCAGTGGTGACATAGCACCAAGTAGACCTCCCAAAAAGCAAGCGTTCAGCATAATGAAATGCTTCTTTCTTGGGGGGTCCCTGGTGGCTCCTCAGACCCTCCTTCCCTTGGTCAGGGGCTTCGGTTTTCATCTTATTTGCTATACTGTATATAACTGAGATGGTAAGGTTGATGGATTGAGGAGGAAAGTATGCAGTCCCCTGGTGGTGTATAGGTGGATATCAGGAAAAAGTACTAAGCCATTACTGCTATATAGCACTTGAAGGGAACCAAGAAAAGAATCTGGGATGAGACGGGGAGAAGGAATAAACACGAGAATAGTTTCACCACTGAGTTGATCATGAATGTTGGGGTTTCGCTGTCCCATTTTTTATGGTTTGTCTACCTTGCTGTCGTCTACTTGATTTGCTCCCTTCTAGCCTTTTCTTAGGGTGATTTATAATCCCCCTGTTCCTTGTGCCTCTTAGAGGGGGCCAACTTTTTGCCTTTGGTTCATGGTAGGCTTGTATATGACTCTAAGGCCTAGTGTGGATTGAATTGGGAAGAGCTTGCCAGGCAGCAAGCACCAAGGAGCCACCGCCACCTGAAAGAGGTGTTTTGTTATATTCAACGCTGGTTTTACTTAGATGTTATCATTAAGAAATATGAGTATAATTCTGTTAATCCTGTTATTAATTGATAGAAAACATGAAGTTTTTCAATAGTTAACTTCAAATTTTATTGATGTTTCTTCAGGAAGAGCGGCATTCATTGGGATAGGATTTGGAGATAGGTCTGACAGCTTTGACTTAAATGTAGCACTTCAAGATCACTTCAAATGGGTCAAGAAAGAAGAAGAAGCAGAGAAAGAGAAAGAAGAGGGAAAACCCAGCCTTGATCTAGGTTTCAAGGATGGTCAGACTATTAAAATCAATATGAAAATAACAGTAAGTGAAATTGTATAGTTCTTCTAATAGGTCTTTTTTGTGTGTATAAAAAAAGCACAAACTTGTGTAAACGTTTTCTTGTGTGTAAAAAAAAAAAAAAAAGTATATTTAGTTTAATAGTTACAAGGCACATTTATCTTAAGGTGTAGCTTTTCTCTATCTCTTACCTTGTAAAAAGTACAGCACAAAAATATTGGTCCAGTGGACAGTGGACATTTTGTTCTGTGTTGTATTTGAAAACAGTTTTGCAAGAATTTGTGTTAATTCTTCATCTCCTCTTGTGGTACCAATTGACTTCACATATTCTGGTGCTTTTCCATTCTTGGAAAGGAACTGGATATTCAAATGAACAAATCCACAAGGGACGTGACGAGGATTCGAACCTGCGTCCGGGAGCATCCCGGCAGTGTCTGGGATGCTCCCGGACGCAGGTTCGAATCCTCGTCACGACCCTTGTGGATTTGTTCGTTTGATACATCACGTTAGTGTGATTTTTGTGTGTGGATATTCAAATGTTTTCATGCCTCTATTTTGTTCATCTTAAACCCTTGATTAAAGACCGTCATATTCATCCAACATTAGCAGTAGACTGGAGAGTAGATCCAGCAGTGGTTTAGCAAAAAAAAAAAAAAAAAATCTGCTACTCTCTTAGCTCTTCTTGATGAGTCATATGACTCCTATTCCATTTCCATACAAGACTGGTTCATCCTATATATGTTTGAGAATGTTGATTTGATATAAACTAGAGTAGTGTGAGATATATAGCCTTACCTTCCTACATCAGCAGGCAGAGGAGTCAGGAAAGATTATTATGATCTTTTTGTTGATGCAAATAATGGTGCATCACATCATGTTTTGAAAGAGGGGCGTTAGAGGTTGACATACTAAACGACAGAGCCCGAGTGCATGGGGGGGATTGTGTGAAACTCCGATTCGGCTTCAGGGGAAGCCTCGGGACCCTTGGGTGCAGTACCTCTACTGTAGTACCCCAGGTTGCAATTCTTACCATGTCGAGATGCAGTCTACTAGAGCGTGCATCTGGGAACACCCAGCGCATAGGTTCAAACTCTCATCATGGCTCATCATGGTTTGAAGGCTTTGAAGTTGGTTTCTGACTTGTTATACTTTATTTTTAAATCTTCCTCTGTGGGTTCTGCCTTGGTTGTGGTTTGGTCTAAATAGCCAGCCTCTGCTTCTTGTTCACGTCTCTCAATCTGAGGCGGTCACACAGGCTCTGTTGCTGATGTCTTAGTGGTGGTGATGTTTTGAGTCTGTGCTCATTACACCAGCCTGTGCATATTACTCAAGCCTGTGCATAGTATACCAGCTAAGCAAACTTCTTTTTCCGCTGAATTCTAAGAAAGTATATACAGTACTGGTATTAATAATTTCCTGTAATATACCGGTATTCCAGTATTAATAATTAATTAATAATTATACCAATAATTATCTGAAATAATTATCTGAAATCAGATAATTATACCAATTATCTGAATTTATCAAATGTTTCAATGGATTCATAAATTCTTGTACATGAAACAAATCTATAATCTGTATCTTGAGGTTATCTTGAGATGATTTCGGGGCTTTTTAGTGTCCCCGCGGCCCGGTCCTCGACCAGGCCTCCACCCCCAGGAAGCAGCCCGTGACAGCTGACTAACACCCAGGTACCTATTTTACTGCTAGGTAACAGGGGCATAGGGTGAAAGAAACTCTGCCCAATGTTTCTCGCCGGCGCCTGGGATCGAACCCAGGACCACAGGATCACAAGTCCGCTGTCCGCTTGGCCGACCAGCTCCCATACAGTAAAGGACTCCCGTACAGCTCTGTATACAGTAAAGGGCAATATAAATTCCCAAAATTGAAGGATGAGAGCTTGTGGTGTCCTGTCTTCCCATCACTCTTTGTCATATAGCGTTTTTAAACTATTGGCGGTTTTGGCTTCGACCACTTTCTCACCCTGTTCCAACCATCTACACTCTGTGAAAGTATAAATTTTGTCGATTCCCGTTATTATAAAGTACGTAGTGATCATATTGCCTCTTTTTCTTCTATCTTCTAGTTTTGGCATGTTTAATGCCTCTAACCTGTCCTTGTAGCTCTAGTCTTTCACTTCCAGGAGTCATTTGGTTACATGTCTTTGCACCTTTTCCAGTTTGTTGATGTGCTTCATAAAATATGGGCACCATACTACCACTGCATATTCCAGCTTTGGTCTCACAAAGGTCATGAACAATTTCTTTAGTATTTCACCATTCATGTGAAGGGGTTATTTCCTAATCATATCATATACAGTACACAAGTTTTAAGTTATCCTGAAAATCTTTCACCCAACAGAAAAAGGAGGGCCAAGAAGGAATCAACCGACCAAAACCCAAAGGAGGTGCAGGTGGTTTAGGGCTGTTGCCACCGCCACCAGGGGGAGTGAAATTAGCACCTCCTCCAGGTCCTGCAGGCATAACTACATCATCACCTCCATCTGCAGCTAGTAATTTAGATATACTGGGAGATTTATCAGATGCCCCGAGCAGTCCTGCATCTCAAACAGGAGCAGGAAGCGGTACTGGTGAATCTTGGGGTGATTTTGCCAGTGCTGCTGTCAAGCCACCACCTCCCAGGTTAGATTATTACTTACAGACTTCAGCATTATAATTTTATCATTTAAAAGCCTGCCGAATTATTATCTTTTGGACTTTGAGGAACTTGGCCAATTCGTGTATCTGATATTAATCTCCATATTTAATGTTTTCCTCTGCAGTAATCCACCAAGTGGAGGCTCTGGAAGTGGCTGGGTGACCTTTTAAGCTTCCAACATACATGGACAAGTTCTGTTGCAGTTACTACAAGAAAACAGTGCATGAAGAACAATTTTCCATCTGTAGATAGTATTCTTAGGTACTTGAAATGGATGTCTCAGTGGTACAGTTACTTGCCATGTACATATGATTCTAGTTTGTTATATTGATCTATTGGGATCTAAACAAAAAATGTTTAAGTTTTTATTTTTTATTTTATACATTTAATGAGGTGTGCTGGAATATTTAGCTGAAAGTGTTTTCACATTTAACTTGAAAAGCTATTACATTACAGTACTGTATTTCAGAGTTTATGTAAACACACAAGCATACAGTATATGCAAAAACTGTGCTTTCTCCCACATATAACACTAGATCATTGGGAAGCATTATTTTTTAAAGCACTTTTTTTTTTATTCCCAAGTGTTTCAATAATCAATAGGTTTAAGAGAGCCTTAACATACTTAGAATCAGGTTCTTCATCGTTTCTAGTGTGTTGTTTAACATTTTAAATCGTTCATAGCCTTAGACGTAAACTAGGTGCAATTCTGAGGCATTATTCAAAGATTTATTCTCGAGCAGCTTGTAAATCGGTGCATTTATTTTGTTTGTGTTAAACTTGTGTAAATTGGGAGATTAAATAGAACTCTTCATGAGGCTGTGTAGAACTACAACCACACCAGGCACCTTAGGCCCACTTGCTCTTGGATGACATTTAATTGGAACCAGCTGATTAAACACCATTTTTGTTGATATATTAACCAGTGTACTTAAGACGAGGCAGTTTTCTCTCATTTTTATGATAGGGTTGAGGTAGCCATTGTATCTACTCTTTAGTCTCTTACTTGCTGGTATGAATTTTGCTGGTCATATACCAGTAGTTTTCTCAAAAATAAAGATCAATCCGATTTTATATTTTATTTTGCAGACTGAATATTAAATGTCATAAACTTACAGTATGTGAGTTTAATTTGGCCAGAAATGTGAAACACTTTGGATATATATGATTTTGAGTTATACTGATGACAAGGTCTTCTGCCATCACTGACCTCTTGGTTAACAATTGTTGTTTATACAAAAATTTGGTTTCACAAGAAATTGGTTATGAAGTATTTACTGTATATTATTTGAAAGTAATCTTTTATTAGCATCAAGGTATGGACAATAAAGGTATCATATATTGTTGGCATTAATGAGTAAATGATTTAAATACAGAAATCTATAAGTAGTCATTTATTTCTTTATTTCTGAAACCACTTAACTAGTCTATCAGATAGAGTAGAAGTTGCATACATCATACTTAAATATGAGCAAGAAGTCACTTAATAGTATATAAATGTTCCATTTTCCTTGTTTTATTAAAATTACCTGGCTGGTTATTTTATTTTTGCATTTCAAGTGTACTTAAATGATTTCATTACAAATGACCCTCTTCAGAAATGTTCTTATATTTTATTATTAAAAAATATAAGGTGATAATTAAACCACTGAAGTGGCTCTGTAGATGTGCATTGTTTGCTCAGTATATTTAACATTTGATATGGATGCTGAGAACTGTATGAACTTGGCCTCATTTGTGACTAAACCACACTTTGGACTGGGTCATGGTGATCAACCCCTAATGCTGGGGTAGGTCTAAAAATCAGTGATGTAATAAAGATTTTTGGGAAGTGTGTGTGTGTGTGTTCCCAAACAGTCAGTTGACCTAAGAAAAATTCTTAATATTTGTTCTGATAAATATTTTGTTTACAGTTAATGCTGAGCAAAGTATAGTTATATACCTAAGGATGTTAGTCCAGGTGAAACTTTCTCCCTGCACTTCCCAAAATATTAAGGATAATTTAGAATATATTGAAACAGAGAAATGTTCCAGTGCAAAGAAAAGCATTCCTGCTAATATAGATGTAGCATCTTTCCCAGACACTTCAGCTGACATTTTCAGTTGACTTTTAAAGGTATAGATGAATAATTTGCCAAAGAAGTGATGTTGGTTTAGCTATCACTTAGGCAAAGCAGTCGCCATGTGTTTGTACTGATAAATGATTTTGGAAAGGATGAGGATTGTCTTGCAGCAACAATATACAAGTGGTAAAATACAAGAAAAATGGTTGAAGACAAAAATATTCAGTGGAATTTCAATGTGGAGATGAAAAACCCATATCTGACCACTGAGTGGTGCTGCAGTGTGAGAATAGACTCGGGAGTGTAAAATAAGTTTGCCCCTTTATATTCCGAAAGGTAGTGTTTTCATTTGGCAGCCGAGGCCGGGCTGTTTACTATCTGCTTATACACACACACCTACAGTTGCATGTGTGATGTACAATTCCTTGGCTTATTAATTTGGTACAGTAACAATGCAAGTACAGTACACTTGCTCTGATGCATCTTTTACAAATTAATGTTACCTATTTAGTGTTCAATGCTAATTCATCTGTGTAAGTCATTGAGATAAACCATATCATGCATAATACATTTCTGATAGGGGATGATTATTTTCTTTGGATTACATACTTTGACTCCATTGAATTGAGTTACAAATTGTCTTACTTAGCTTAAAATGGTGGAATATTGATCTATAATTATTCCATGTTTTATATTTTCATTATAATGAAAACCGAGATGATTCTTATAAATTGTTACGTATCGTTAATTCTGAACATAATATTGTTATTGGCAGTTGTGCAGATATAGTGAATGATGTATGGTATATATCGTATAACTAAACTATTGTTATCAGTAGGTAATTAAGAACGTGTTACTGGTGTGAATCATGAGCGTAAATTTTGTTAGGTTAGTTGTATAACGACCTTTGAATTAAAGGAAACCCGTGCTTATTTAGTTGTTAAGTCAAATTGTTTAGAATAATAGATTGAGAGATTCTCAGAAGACCTGAAGTATTGCCTTTGTTGTCCCAAATTTCCTTCCCTTGTAGGGAAGTTAATTGTTGTACTGTACAGTATTTTGGAGTTAAACTAACTACTTAGTAAGCCAGTCTTGTCATGTTTAAGCAGTGTGTGATCCTGTATCATTCCTGTATATAAACATTGGTGTAATGTTAGAACCCCATTTTCCCTAATATTACTGTAGAAAATTTATATATTGTGTTCATTTTGTAAGAATTACTTTAGTAATGGATATGAAGAATATCAGTTTGTGTTCATTGGAATTAAAAACAAAATTGTTTTTCGTAGTAATGATTTTATATGGGGAATGCAACTTCATGCTTGCCGTGTGGTGTGTGCCTTGAGGGTGAAACCTGTCAGTTGAGGGAAGCAATATTATAATGTACTGTGGAGAGTGTGGTTAGTGAATTCTCCACTGTTGTACATACCTGGAGGATAAGATTGGGTTCTTCCCTGTTGTATGTTCTCAGAGGATATGATTGGGTTCTTCCCTGTTGTATGTTCTCAGAGGATATGATTGGGTTCTTCCCTGTTGTATGTTTTGGGAGGGTAAAATAGGTTTTTTCCTGCTGTCAAAGTAATACAGACAGGGATATAGAGAAATGTCAAGTAGAGTACACTTTATTGAAGGTGACATTTCACCTGTAAGAATTTTTATCAAATTAAAGCCTTATTCTCTACTCGGTATTTCTTTAAATCATTCATGGAACTTTGTGCTCCATTCAACCAAATGACCAGGAATATTTTGTTTCCTTTTTCATCAATTTTACACTGCAAATGCTGTGCAAGTTATTTGTACAAAAATATATATAATTAATTGCCTTGGTAGGCGATTTTAAAGAAATATAAATGGTCATTGCCTTCTAAAGCTGAGATACAACCTTAAAAGTGAATACAGTATAGTTCCCATTTCCCACAGGAAAACTCCCCCACAAAAGTGAGACGTTGTACATGCCACCAGAGTTATGGGTAAAGCATGTGATGCAGCCAGGTGCAATATACCGTGTTCAAAAAAGTTGAGTGAAGATTGGTTATGGTGATTCAAGTGGATGATACGAGTTATGCAAGAACATGATGAACAAGGTCTGAGTGTGTTAGGGGTATTTTCTTAGATGATTCAAAATTAATAAATTTTAGATTAGGGCAGAGGATCATTTTTGCATGATAAGGTATTTTCCTAGATAATATTTTAAGTCCTTAATTTTTGCAGTGAATAATTTTTGTAAAAGTGAAAATTTGGATGTTCAATTAACCTAATAAGAGAGTTGAGTGTAAAGGAGGTGTGGTAAAGTTGAAGGGTTTAATCTGAGTATAGCAGAGAGAAGGTTTAGTGAGAGTGCTCTTGAATCTCGTCATTTAAATTGGTGGTTTCCAAACTTTCTTGGATAAACTCATCCCAGTGTCCCTTTTAACAGGGCGGTCATAAATAAGTGATGAAGACTTATCACTTGGAGGGGCTCGCCTCCTTGGTGCCCTCTTAAGTCATCCCATTCACTTTGGGACCTACTGCTTTAAATGAAAGTGAATTTATGGATATAGTGCATGATTTGTGTATATGATTTCCACACCTGTCAGTTGTGTAGGCTGCTGCTCTTGGGGTGGGCAATTGTAGCGTAATTCATAGTTCCCAAGTAGTTGAGAAGTTGTGTGTGCACAGCAGATTATATGAACACTGTGCATATGGTAATTTATCTAACCGAATGGAGTTTTTAAGAGAAAAAAAATGGATTTATTGCAATCCTTAATGAACCCGATTCTCCTTGGCATTCTGCAAAAATAAGTTCAAGTTGCATTAAGAATTTCTTACATTGTGCTTTTACTGAAAAGCTGAAGAGTTTTTTTTTATATATATTTGGATTAATTGCCCTAAATTGTGTTATAATATCTGCCCTCTAAAGAAATTTAGAAGAATTTCCATGTTTATTTTTTTTGCCATTTATAAGACAAATCATCAACTTTTAGCTGTCTAATGTTGACTGCAAGTCATCATGTAAGGTATAATTAACTGACATTACAATAAAAAATTAAAAACCATTCATTACCATTTTCTTGAGTATTTTAAATACTACATTATTTCTTATGATGGTAGTCAGCTTTAGTTACAAGATAGTAACACATGCCGAGGTCAGTTCATTTGTTTAAAATGGATCTTCAAGCAGGTTCGTGAACCACTAAAAGTATGCAGTAGCATTTCTAAAGGATGAATGGAGGGCTGGCTGAAATTTATTTGTGCTAACCCAGCCTCGATAATTGGAGGTACGATTGAATGGTGTGATAATGCAGAAGGTACCTGGTGAGAAGACGTTTTGAGAACCTCTGGTTTAAAGGGATAGTAGTTGTGACATCATTGTTTTGTCATGAGCATAATAGTTTGACCAGACCACACACTAGAAGGTGAAGGGACGACGACATTTCGGTCCATCCTGGACCATTCTCAAGTTGATTGTGAATCGACTTGAGAATGGTCCAGGACGGACCGAAACGTCGTCATCCCTTCACCTTCTAGTGTGTGGTCTGGTCAGACAACTTCAGCCACGTTATTGTGACTCATCGCCTGCATGAGCATAATAGATTTTTTATTAAATGTCTCTATGGTGTACTAATGTCAAGCAAAACCCTGGATGGAACTGTCCATTAAGAGAAGCCATATCCCAAGTTTGGATGTTTATGGCTGTCAATATATCTATGCAAAGCAGCTACCTTCAATTGTATAACTTTGTTAATAATATATTGATCCCTCTTATAAATTTAGATAAAGAAAATATCAAATTAATTGGAAATAACTGCATAAAGGAAAATTTAGCTTACATTGATATATATTAGTGGTCATTCAAACAGAAATAGGCAAAAAGCTGGATATTATAGCTTTCTGTGGCAGAAAAAGGCACAGACTTGGGGCATAATATTCAAATGTTAATTCACTGTCACTTTTACTAGTACTGTACTGTACTATTGTTTTTTAACTGGTTTTATATAAACATGAAATGAGGTGTATATAATGTAATTTTATTTTTATTGAGTAAGTTAGGAATATATTTCAAGCAAAAATTGTCAAATTATTTTTATTTAAATTTACAAGTAATTCGTTGGGGAGTTTCCATTGTGCTGTAAGGTGAAAAAATTCATGTTAAAACACTGTAAGCTGTCTGGTTTGTCATTCAATAAAATATTATCTGAGAGCATTGAGAAGGTAAGACTTGAGGTTGTGGTGTGGTTTTATCGAAGGTCATCCTAAACCTATTGTAATGTAGAAACAAACACTGTATATATAAAGTAATATGTGGATGAGAAAAGTCTCTTAATAAAATTACCTATGTATCTCTTAAGGGTGATGCAAGTCATTGCTTTTTAATTGTAATGCAACAAGTGTGTGCTCTTATTTTGCGGCTAAAAATTTAATACCAGCATATAATAGTACTGTACATATATCTGTATATCAGTGTACAGTGTTTAAATAATTTACTGAGCTTTGTAATTCTTGCTCATAAAAATAAGTTGAATGTCTTTGACATGACAGGTGCAGCAACATGTCTGCAACAATGCAAGTATCAGGCAGAACCACATTTCTCATACTAGATCCTGCAAGGAGATTGTGTCTTCCATAAACCTTTATTATTTTTTCCAAGTTTTATTTTCAGCTCTTGAGTAAACGATTATATATGATGTCTTTGCCAGGGTAACTTCTATATGTAATGCTTTGGAGAGACTACGGACTTTAGTGGTTGTGCAGACATGAATAAAGACTAAGTTGGCTTTCAGGTCTTTTTATTTCCAGTTTAAGTGATAAAATTTGATTAAGTTAGGTGGTGAAAGATAAAATAAAAGTTTTAGGATTCTTGTATTAATTAGTATACTGTATTTATATATTTTGTAATTCTTATGTTTATGCAAGTACAGTACTGTACTGTAAGTGAATCAGCTGTTTGGTTTAACATGTTCAAGTAATTTCATTCTGCAATTCTGAACTCTTCTTTTCCATATGAATGAAATTGTTATAAAATAAATAGCCACAATTTGTAATTTTAATTATGCACATACAGTACAATTATACTTTAATACTTTAGCAGTCTCCGTGGTGTAGTGGTAAGACACTCGCCTGGCGTTCCGCGAGCGCTATGTCATGGGTTCGTATCCTGGCCGGGGAGGATTTACTGGGCGCAATTCCTTAACTGTAGCCTCTGTTAAACGCAACAGTAAAATGTGTACTTGGATGAAAAAACGATTCTTCGCGGCAGGGGATCGTATTCCAGGGACCATACATAGGATTAAGGACTTGCCCGAAACGCTACGCGTACTAGTGGCTGTACAAGAATGTAACAACTCTTGTATATATCTCAAAAAAAAAAAAAAAAAAAAAAAAAAAAAAAAAAAAAAAAAAAAAAATTACACTAAGGGTAGGGTATTCCAGAGCTCGGTAACATCTAGGATCACATGATTAGTACCAGCACTAGTTCTATTGATGATAAGTGGGGTGGATTGTCTTGGGCCAAGCATAACCAGTTTTGATGTTTTAAGTCTTTATTTGTTAATTACTTCATCCTGGTTAGAGCATAGAATTGATTTAATGGATAATAAGAGTTGATAGATAAGTTGTTTCCCCACTTGGTATAATATCTATAAAAGTGACTATTATTGCACCAATGTTTTATATACTGGTTTCAAGTTCCCTAATGGGTGTTGACTTAACTTGGAGGAGGGGCTCGTGTGTCATTCTTGGGCAGGTGTGTGTAGCTTCAGCTCCCCTCTCCTGCCTGTTGTGGCAGCGTACAAGTGTTAATGCCCACTGTGCCTTGTTTAATCTGGACACCTGATAGAGGATTCTCCTGTGACGGGCCCCTGTGTACTCACCTAATTGTGCTTGCGGGGGTTGAGCTTTAGCTCTTTGGTGTGTGGGTAGATTTTTGAGTCGACTGGGTTGTGAGGGTGGAGAGGGATCAGCATCTGAGCCGGCGAACTGTGTGGATCAGTGATCTTCCCCGTTGAAAAGCGAGTGCCACTAGGAACGAGGTATCATGTCTGCACCAGCTCAAACGTGGCTTCCCTCACTGCTCTGGTAAGTTGTATCCCATGACCCATGGCTCTAATCTGGTTCTTTCCTTACCCATGGAACTTTCATCCTCTATTTCTAACGTGGGGCTTGAGGGCATTATTCGAGCCTAGCAGGCTCTGTTGGCTGGTTCCTTCAGAGCATGCTGGGAAAGTATAAAGCTCGACCAAACCTGTCAACGACTTTCCTACCCATACATGGTTAATGGTTAGGTGGTCATGGTACTGTGTACACCAGGGGGTGAGCTCTGGTAATGCAGGTTCGAACTCTGGTTCGGTCATAGAGTTCTTAAATGATTTATGACTTGGGGACCATTCTAGCTTTCTGTTACATGTATATATATCACGAATGCGGATTAAGGCTGGCGAAGAGATTACGTCGCAAGGTCTTGTTGATAGACGACGGTGTAAGCTGAGAAGGAAGTTGGGGGGGGGGGTTGTTTGCTTATCTAGATCGACCCTCATGTCCTCTGTTTGTAGAGGGAGAATGATGACGGTGGTGTAATTACCTAAGTGTAGTTACAGGATTAGAGCTACGCTCGTGGTGTCCCGCCTTCCCAGTACTCTGTCATATAACGCATTGAAACTACTGACGGTTTTGGCTTCTACCATCTTCTCACTTAACTTGTTCCAACCATCTACCACTCTGCAAAAGAAAACTTTCTAGAATTTTTTCGGGACCTTTGTTTCCTTAACTTGAATCTGTGTTCTTGAAGTTGCTGGTTTCAGGAATTCCTCTTTGTCAATATGGTTGATTCCTGTTATTATTTTGTAAGTGGTGATCATTTAAGAAAAGGATCTTGGAGTAAAAACCTACCACTCACTAAAAGGAACACAACAAGAGCAGCAGTCAGAAAAGCTAATCAAACTCTTGGAATAATCAAGCGTACTTTTGACTTTAAGGAAAATAAGGTAATGATTAAACTGTAAAAATCTCTGGTATATCCCCCTTTGGATAATTGTATCCATGCATGGCGACCTCATTTTCAGAAGGACATAGCTGCTCTGGAGAAAGTGCAAAACCGGACAATAAAAGTCATTCCAGAGCTAAGTCAACTCTTGTATCACGAACGGTTGAGGGCTACAGGACTAACACTGCAAACCAGACATGACAGTGCGGATCTCATTGAAACTTAAAATACTGAACAAGTTACAGGATACTGATCCGGACAATTTCATCAAAAAGTCAGATGTAACGCAAAGAGCGACGGTTTCAAGCTCAACAAGCCACAATATAGGATTGATAATGGGAGATGCTTTTTCACCCACAGGGTTATAAACCCATGGAACTGCCTTCCCACCGAAGCCGTAAATGCCAAAACTTTGTTAACTTTTAAAGTACAACTAGAAAAGTTCAAGGCAAATGGGGGGACCTTCGACAAGTCGCCGGCTTCCTGTCCTCGTCGTGGTCACTAGTGTTAGTGGCTTTCAGGTAAACATTTTGACTGGAGAGTCTACCCCAAGGTTCCGCCTCCATGTCACTTGTCAGGCTGGAGGGTCATGGGGCAAGACGAAGCCAACTGTTCTTAGGGCAAAAAATGTACTGTGTAAGATGTCTGACATTAGGTGATAAAAACTGATGACTTACTGACCCTATGCACACAGCGAAGGAAAGGATCGAGATGTTGACCAACCACACACTAGAAGGTGAAGGGACGACGACGTTTCGGTCCGTCCTGGACCATTCACAATCGACTTGAGAATGGTCCAGGAATGGACCGAAACGTCGTCGTCCCTTCACCTTCTAGTGTGTGTTCTGGTCAACATACTTCAGCCACGTTATTGTGACTCATCGTCTACAAAGGATCGAGATCTCCTGAGTTTTACATTTGAATCGTAGTCTATATATCAAACTGTCAAAGTATGAGCCCACCTACTCTTCACTGACTCAAAATCAGCTGTAAAACCTCACCATAATCTTCCAAAACCCCTCACACATTTCTAAACCTCTCCCTGAACCCTGGCACTCTACATAGATAAACACTGGAGGAACCTTATATGTCTGTGCTCTCAACTCCAGGAGGTACTAAAGAACAGAGGTCAAGTCCACGACAAGCTCTCGATTGTTACAAAGGAAGAGAGGAAGACAACCTTTCTTGAATTGTTACATGGTGGTGGTGGCCCATGCAGGAAAATCTCTAAGAAAAATAAATATTGTTACCATGGTTATCAACCCTTGTTACCATGTTCAACGCAGAGGTGATGACCATACAACACAGCTAGTGCTCCAGGGCGGTAGTGTCTAGGTCGGGGGGATGGGGGTGAACCGTCACGCTAACCGTTCGTTGGGGCTTGAGGGAAAGCTTCTTCAGGATTCTGTAGGTACGCGGAGACGGTAGTGGCTTCATGGAACGTTTCTTCGTATGATTGCCTATAGGTTCCGTGATCTTAACGGAGACCATTTTCTGGATCCTGTAGTTTCGTGGAGGCATCGGGGGCTTGAGAGAGAGCTTCTTCAGGGTCCGGTGGCTCCGTAGAGGCAGGGAGGGTTTAAGGGAAAGCTTCTTCCGAATCTTGTAGTTACGTGGAGGCGTTGGAGGCTTTGGTGGGATTGACGGGGCCATCGTAGAAGGAGGTCGTAATTCGCTGACCAGCTGACATTGCTGTTTCTTTGATGGCTTTTCCAACTGACGCAGCACCAGCAAGCACTGCCGATAGTGACGATGATTAAGGAACAGCCTCATGCAACACGATACTTATGTGTCAGTAAAGGCACTTGCATATATTTCTAAATATTTGTTCTTACTATTATCAACCTACCTCTCTGTGTACATATGTGAGAAACTCACATAATTATCTTACTCTTGACTGAACTTCTAAATGAAAACTATCACAGATTTTGTTTATCTCACGTTTATAATTAATCTCACCAAAACGCTAGAAATAAATAACAGGTCGATTTCGTCAGTAGATGACGCCTAATTTGTAGGTATGTACCTGCTTAGCTGATGTCCATCGCTGGTAATACCTGAAGGCCAGGCAGAGGGCAAGGCAGAGGAAGAGAAGCAGCGTCGCCACCGCCGCCACCAACCCTGATAATATAAGTAAATATATAAATAAATATTTACTTAGGTAACAGTACATATATACAAGATGAGTTACAAACAAAATGTTGGATTTATAGATAGAACTAGTACATACTATGCCTAAGGTCACTAATACGCATAGCGTTTCGGCCAAGATGTGGGAAAATGCTTAAAACTACAAGACTTGAGAATGGTCCAGGACGGACCGAAACGTCGTCGTCCTTTCACTTTCTAGTGTGTGGTTTGGTCAACATAAAACTAAAATATTCGTGTTACTCAAGTGTGACGCTATTAGCCATACAACACACAAAACAAGTATAATAAATAACTCACAATTAAACACAGGGAATTATTAGCACAGTGAAACATATTGAAATATAAACATTCTTTGCTTGGCTTCCTCCTCCCTTCACCCTGGCCTGCAGCTAATACTGTGCAGACCTCAGACATGTTGGAACACGTAAGGTAAAGCTACAACGGTTCTTACAATACACGTCGATGTTGGAACACATGACACAACGTCACAGTCCTCGCTGGTGATGGAACACGTAAAGGAGAACGAGTCACTCCTGCACTCTGAGAAGAATCTTATCTCCAACTGAGTGGTGTTGTGGAGGTGGTATCCACTTCCTCCATCTTGCCCGCCTTCCTTCCAAGAAAATATATCATTCACGTTTGATAAGAATATCTCGTTTACCTTTATCAAACACATTCCATTTTAATAACAGGAAGGACGGCGTGCTTGATATTTGTTTTTCAAAAATGTTCAACACTTATTTATGTAAACTAGTTTGTAAAATACGAAATGCATTAATGTGAATCACTTTTAATGTGGCTTGTAAAACAAAGTTGTGATAAACTGGACAAAATCCTCAGAGAGTCACTACAGACGCGTGCCTTATTGATAACCACGATATCCTAAGCCATAATATGTGATAAACTCTTATGTATATTTTTTCAATATATAGCTCCTCTTTGCCTTGTGTAAGGAATATTGACATACCACATACTGAGTGACTAAATTAATCTAGGTTAAAACAAACTTGTCTAAGACGAAGACCCAGAATTGCAAACTAAAGAGGCTCTGATCTCTTATTTCTTAGAAAGTTTCTGGGCTATTTAAGAATAAAGAGGCACTTAGCTTTTTGTATTTAAAGTCTTAGATTTTTGTATTTAAACAATGAACAGTATTTTAGGTAAGGTCAGGTAATTTTCAGGAGAAAGTACTAAGTCATTACGACTATATTCCGCTTGGAAGGGATATGAGGCTAAGGGTTTAGGAAAAAAATAAGTGAAGGAATGGTGCCCAACCAATTAGACGGTCGGGGATTGAACACCGACCTGCATGAAGCGAGACCGTCGTCCAGCCAAAGTGTTTTCCTCATCAGTAATCAAATCAAATCAAATGTTTATTTAGGTAAGGTACATACATACAAGAGATTTTACAAAGAGTGATGGATTAATAGTTAGGGCTAGTACATACAATGCCTAAAGCCACTATTACGCAAAGCGTTTCGGGCATGAAAAACTTAAATGACTAAAGCTTAATACTAATTGAGCATAAAGAGTAAAATGAAACATGGAATGAAAACATAGCTGAAAAAGCAGCACAAATACAATTCTGTCGACAAACAGCGCTCTTAAAAAAAAAAACAGACATTGGTTGACAATAGAGGGGTAAGCTAGGTTACAGGGAATTTATTAGGTATAGCTTCGTTTTTATCTTAAACTGGTTGAGAGAGGTACAGTCTTTAACATGGTTGGGAAGGTCATTCCACAATCTGGATCCCTTGATTTGTAGAGCATTTCTAGTTTGATTAAGTCGTACTCTAGGAATATCAAAACTGTATTTATTTCTGGTGTGGTGCTCATGGGTTCTGTTACAACCTTCTATGAAGCTTTTGAGGTCAGGATTGGCATTATAGTAGTTTTTATACGTTTATTTTATCCCTGAAAAAAACTGAGTGATTGCAATGTTTGTGTTATTTCACTATTACATGGCGACAATAGAAGGTTCTGATGTTCTGGTTTAGATAACCTTATCTCCTTCATTCCCTACAAAAAAGTATCCATTGATGTCTAGTTTGCAGATGAGGAGTCACAATAACATGGCTGAAATATGTTGACGAAACCACACACTAGAAAGTGAAGGGACGACGACGTTTCGGTCCGTCCTGGACCATTCTCAAGTCGATTGTGACCATTCTCACAATCGACTTGAGAATGGTCAGGACGGGCCGAAACGTCGTCGTCCCTTCACTTTCCAGTGTATGGTTTGGTCAACATGTATAGTTTCCTTCATAGGCTTCCAACTTTCCAGAAAATACATTACTGTAAGAGTTGTTCTACCTGTGGTTGTGACATTCTGAAAACCATTCAATTATAGTGCTAGTGTACTGCAGGGTAGTGTGCTAAGTCCTTTGTTGTGGAATGTTTACATTAACGAGCTACTGCGCTACAATCCCATTAAGTGCAGGATCAATGAAACTCTGAGCAATGAGAATTATGAGAGTTTACTTGGAAAAATTTATGAGAAATAGTTTTATATTACCAGATGGAACACGTACGGAGTTGGAACTCCGTATTAAGATCGGAGTTCTGGGAAAATATAGGCAAATTTAATCTGCGGATATCATTTCATGTATGTACTAAAGTAATACGTAGTTACTTAGCCTTAGATATATATAGACAGTTTGCCATCTTGAATCGCATGTTATGTATTGTGTATTAAGTGCATTGCCAGACGTAAAAGTATATTATAGTCTATAGTATCCAGTGTTATAGCCAGTAGTACCCAGTACCCGTTATTGTGATGTTTTGACTGATGGTCTCATAGCTAAGATGTTACATTAACGCTAGGAATTGACTCCGGTGGCGTTTGAGGTTGTCGAGTGTGTTTTGCGTGGGTGTGTCGGCGGTACGATAATTGCACAACCCGGCGCCACCTACATGAAGTGAGGAACATTCTTCAGCGCGTGGGGCCCTATGGAGGTGTCCTGGGTCACTGAGTGCATGTCCTGGTTACATAGCTTTTCTGCGTTAGTATTTAGAACCACCGGGTCTGTGTTTATGACTGTTTTGGAGACCGTTCAACACAGGACAATAAAACTCATTCCAGAACTAATTCGCCCTCCATACCAGGGACGACTGAGGGGCTAACATGATGTCTTGTTAGGTTACTTTTGCTAAGTTCGGCAAGGGTTTGTCGAGCGAGGTAGTAAATAGGAAGTTTGAGCAGACCACACACTAGAAGGTGAAGGGACGACGACGTTTCGGTCGGTCCTGGACCATTCACAAGTCGAAACGTCGTCGTCCCTTCACCTTCTAGTGTGTGGTCTGGTCAAACTACTTCAGCCACGTTATTGTGACTCATCGCCTGCATAGTAAATAGGAAGGTGTCGCAGCTCAAATTGGTGTAAGGAGTGATGGAGACCCATTACAACTGCCCAGCGGGTGGGGGCTCATCCGGACCCCTCCCCCACCCGCAACAATCAGCCCCCACTACCTATTAACATTTGCTGCATAACGGCATTAAACATTCTCTCACGTTAAGCATGCTGAGCTCTAGTGCGCTCCCTCACGTAATGTGGGCGCTCAATATCAAACTAGGTTCGCGTAAGCGTCATGAATATTCCTGTGACACATTTTCTTTAATCACGTTTTCGTTTAATTCTAAGCGCTCAATAAGCAATAAATGCTTAATAAAGACTCAATAAGCCTTTAATGTGATCTTTAGTTGGCACGCAAGTATTTTACTGATATTTAAGTTTTATAACTTACCATAGTGTTATTTATCTACCTCACTATATACTGTAATCAGGCTATAGTTCCCGGTGAAAGCTAATTACAGTTATGCATTAATTACAGGTTATACATTATCAATTAGTTGAGTTAATTCAATTATAATGCAACTATATATTTTACGCCAAATTTTATACTTATCTACTTTCAGTTGTATTTAAACAAAAAATTACTTTTACTTATTAAAATAATTTGTTTAGCTCGGCACGAGTATCAACAGCCTAGCCGAAAATAAATAAGAATAACCTCTTCACAACACGTATATATGTATTATTAAATATGACTCAACAGTTAGAGCAATGGCACTAGAACGAGTCTTTTCTATAATTCTTATGTTCTTTACCTGGGAAGGAAGTTGAAAAATTAACTATCCAAAATTATTTTTACTGTTTTATTAGGCCGACACATGTCGCTGAAGGACGCATTTTGTTGAAGGTATCTTCAACATGTATATATGTAGCCAGTGGGTACATAGTGTTGACCAGACCACACACTAGAAGGTGAAGGGACGATCACGACGTTTCGGTCCGTCCTGGACCATTCTCAAGTCACAATCAACTTGAGAATGGTCCAGGACGGACCGAAACGTCGTCGTCCCTTCACCTTCTAGTGTGTGGTCTGGTCAACATAGTGTCTGGGAGTACATTACATATACCAAGTGGTGAAGTGTCTGAGGTGAAGTGAGAGGTTACATATAGTCAACAGAGATTTAATCATCTCTGTCCTCCTCCAGAAACTTAATGACGTCGAAGTCGTTGGGCACAGTCTGTGCTCTCTCCTGGACTTCTTCGAACGTGTAGTCCACCAAAAGTTTTCCGTTCTCGAATACCGGTACAAGAAGGTCCTGAAATACAAAACCTGGTTCAGAATAACAGCTCCTGGTGTATATATTTACCTGAGGGCCACTTATACTAGTGGCTTCGACGAGGACAGGAAGCCGGTCGCTTGTCAAAGGTCCCCCAATTTTCCGGAAGCTTTTCTAGTTAAATTTTAAAACCCAACAGAGTTTTAGCATTTGCAGCTTAGGCGGGTAAGTGGTTCCATGGGTTTATAGCCCTGTGGGTGAAAAAGCATCTCTCAAACATCTCACCACTTACGTCTAAGCTTTCAGAGTTTTCATAAACTGGTAAAGAACTAATGCTAAATTAATAGTTCTTATTGCGATTTTTTGTGTAGTCTTAATTTTCAATATTGCATCTTTAAATAGCGTCGATCAACACGTGTCCAACATAATGAGCTATTACAAACTCCCTGACCTCCACAAAGAAGACAACTGCACCCATTAATATTGCACGTCTCTAAGAGTGAAGAGTTTGTACTAGATCACAACCCACTCTCGTCCATTGGTGCCAATAATCTTAAATACTGCAACCTCTGGATCTTGCATGTTGCAAAGCCCCACCTAACACCAACCTCATACAGCTTTATCGCGAATTAGTGAAGGTTTATGTAGGACTGGTTCCCAGTCGACCGTGAAAATACCGGGTCCCTGTCTGACCTTAATCACTATAAGGTCAAGCTTAATGTAACCAGAACCTAGTTCCCTCTCTGACCTTTGAGGGGAACAATGGGTTCCAAGTGTAACTATATGATGTAAATATGTGCAGACGATGAGTCACAATAACGTGGCTGAAATATGTTGACCAAACCACACACTAGAAGGTGAAGGGACGACGACGTTTTGGTCCGTCCTGGACTATTCTCAAGTCGATTGTGGTCCAGGACGGACCGAAACGTCGTCGTCCCTTCACTTTCTAGTGTGTGGTTTGGTCAACATGTAAATATGTGATCCGTGTAGATGCCTGACCTTAGTGGGGTCGCCCTTGCCGGCCTGGAGAGTGTTGTAGAGGCCGTGGTCACAGTGGAGGGAGAGACGTCCCCGCTTGCTCTTCTTGCCGAAGTCCGTGATGGGCTCCTTGTGCACATCGATGCCTTGCCCCGCCACCTCCGCGTAGCTCACCTTGTATGCGCACTTCTGCGTGTCTCGGTTAATCTATAACAAATAGAGAAGTGTTGTGTAGTGAACACCTGTAATAGCTTAGCAAAATAAATATAGTTAATGGCTAAGCAGAAGCCGTAATCTCTGTGATGGCTTAGCTGCTGGCCTGTGCAGCTAGTGTAAGACACGAAAGGATGTCTATAAGTAGTTGCATATTAGGAGGATGGACTAAAGAGGAGGTAGTGGAGAGAGCAAACAAGGATGGACACTCACCTTCTGGAGCAGTGAGGCTCCGGCGCCGAAATAGGTGTTGGCTGTGCTCCAGCTGTTGTTCTTGAGGTGTTCTAGCAAGGACCCTGCAGCGAGAATTGTGCTCATATAATTCCCAGTGTCGGGAGTAGGGTCTAAAACCTCAACAAAATATCACCACTCAGCGTCATTGCTACTCAACCCAACGTAAAGTGTGTTGGTGGCGTGTGAGCCTACTTACAGAGTGACTGGTGGCTGATGCCGTCAGCACTAATGACCCTTAGGTAAGGAGGAAGCATTTTGTAGCCCTTAGAGTTCGTCTCAGTACCATAGGCCTCGCCCAGGATCTCCAGACTCTGGGGAATAAAAAAATGTATGTTACACACAGAAATCACAATAGTGTGATGTATCAAATGAACAAATCCACAAGGGCCATCCAGTAAGTTCAGTAGCACTTCGGTTTCAACTCTTTTTACCATGTCGTAGCTCAGTCGATTAAGGCAGCGTCTGAGATGCTCTCAGACGCAGGTTCGAATCCTCGTCACGGCCCTTGTGGCTTTGCTCATTTAAAACGTATGTTGCTATCATATGCAACCTGTCCTCTCGCATAACACATCGTATTTTGACGTAAAAATACCCACCGTTAAGAATGTATTAAAAATCATACTGGCTCGTAAAAGTGACTATGTTCCGTTTTCTAATAGTTTGTCCTCGGCTAGGATAGGTTCGGGCAATATAGTACAGTGTAGTGACGGTGTGACCACTAGAGAGGAGGGCTGTTGTTATAGATTCAGCTACTCGGAACAAGTTCCAAGTAGCACGGGCTATGGTGATCCCGTAGTGGACTTACCTGGCACAGGAGCGGGGCAAGTAGCACGGGCTATGGTGAGCCCGTAGTGGACTTACCTGACACAGGAGCGGTGCAAGTAGCACGGGCTATGGTGAGCCCGTAGTGGACTTACCTGACACAGGAGCGGGGCAAGTAGCACGGGCTATGGTGAGCCCGTAGTGGACTTACCTGGCACAGAAGCGGGGCAAGTAGCACGGGCTATGGTGAGCCCGTAGTGGACTTACCTGGCACAGGAGCGGGGCAAGTAGCACGGGCTATGGTGAGCCCGTAGTGGACTTACCTGGCACAGGAGCGGGGCAAGTAGCACGGGCTATGGTGAGCCCGTAGTGGACTTACCTGGCACAGGAGCGGGGCAAGTAGCACGGGCTATGGTGAGCCCGTAGTGGACTTACCTGGCACAGGAGCGGGGCAAGTAGCACGGGCTATGGTGAGCCCGTAGTGGACTTACCTGGCACAGGAGCGGTGCCAGGACGGGCTGATCATATAGTGATTATCAAGGGGAAGGGGGCCTTGCGCCCCCTCACCCCTTGATGTGCCTTAATGTGTTAAAACTACATCAGTGACTCATTAAATGAGATCTAGTGGAATCTTTGCATCGTATAACAATTTCCCCATTTGTCTAATTACATACATGTCCGTGGCAAGTTGAGAAAGAAGTTTCAGGAAACTGAAACTTACCCCAGGTCAACTATTGGCCAATTTAGATTGAGACCCCTTTTTAATTTGTATATTTTCTCAACCCATTTTATACTCTAATCTCAATTAGTATTAAGATTTAGTCTTTAGTGTTTATCCTGCCCGAAACGCTTTGCGTAATAGTGGCTTTAGGCATTGTATGTACTAGCTCTATCTATAAATTCATCAATATTTGTATCACCCCGTATGTATGTACTTTACCTGAATAAACATTTGAATTTGAATTTGAACAGTTTAACGATTATTTTAACTGAACGAGAAGTTGCAGTGACAATAGAAAGACAAATATTTCATGAATTTTCTGTTATGAAATCCTAAAAATGCAAGAAATCATTATATATTGTAATAGTTCAAATTGTGTATATTATCATATTTGGTTAAATATGACCACATTGCTGGTCTTGCTGATCTTATAGTGTAAGCTCTCTATGCCTCTATCTTCTTAGTGTCAGTATTAAGAAAAACAATCAAGTTACCAGAATTCATGGCAAAGGAACTAGTAATTACTGAAGGATTTAATTTCTACGAAGTTTCCTCTCCTCTCTGGAACATCTTAAGGTTAAGCATGAATACATAAGGTACATGTTGACCAGACCACACACTAGAAGGTGAAGGGACGACGACGTTTCGGTCCGTCCTGGACCATTCTCCTGGACAATCGACTTGAGAATGGTCCAGGACAGACCGAAACGTCGTCGTCCCTTCACCGTCTAGTGTGTGGTCTGGTCAACATTCTTCAGCCACGTTGTTGTGACTCATCGCCTGCATATAAGATACATTTTTTGGGTTAAATGCACATGGGAAAGAGTGGAAGGAGAGTTGGCCAAGATGATGGGGCAATCAAACATAGGGTAAAGGTATATGACCTATTATACAGCGTAAGGGTGTAGGACCAATCAAAGGGAAAGTGGGTAGGACAGTGGGTAAAGTTCTGGGGCCAGATTCACGAAGCAGTTACGCAAGCACTTACGAACGAGTACGTCTTTCCTCAATCTTTGACGGCTTTGGTTTCATTTATTAAACAGTTTACAAGCATTAAAAATTTGCCAATCAACTGTTGTTATTGTTATAAACAGCCTCCTGGTGCTTCGGAGCTCATTAACTGTTTAATAATTGTAAACAAAGCCACCAAAGATTGAGAAAAGATGTACAGGTTCGTAAGTGCTTGAGTAACTGCTTGGTGAATCTGGCCCCTGGTAATCGTGGATGGGTAACACAAAATCCTTGTGTTTTCTGTGAATAATCTCCGAACAAAAATTAAACGTACATTGTTAATTGGTTAACAGTGCATCAAAAACATTTGTTAATTAGACATATTATTACGATTATTATACATGAACCGACATTTCTTTCTGCTAATATTTTATAATTTCTTAAGTTTCCCCTTACTGTCATAGAAGATTTGGTTTCTTATTCACTGAGACAGGAATCCTATTCAGCTCATAGAGATGCCACGTACCGCCCCCCTTTGCTAAGAACTGAATTTTACCAGGATATATCGCACAACAACACCCTAGCTCCCGGGTACCTATTCCACAGAGGCGTTGGGTATAAAGAAACGTTACCTTTCCTTACAACATTTGCAACTAAACTAGAAGTTACCTTAAGCGTCACCTCCTTGGGGTCACCACTGTCCGGTCGGAGGTAGATACAGCCGCCCTTTCTGCCCCGCTGGAGCACCAAGTCCTTCAGCTCCTGGCCCCAGCACTCCTCCAGGCACCGCCAGATGTCGTAAGAGTCGCACACACACCCGACGTCTCCTGGGGGAGGAATTTCATTCACGAAGCAGTTACGCAAGTACTTACGAACGTGTACATCTTTCCTCAATCTTTGACGGCTTTGGTTACATTTATTAAACAGTTTACAAGCATGAAATTTTGCCAATCAACTGTTGTTATTGTTATAAACAGCCTCCTGGTGCTTCGGAGCTCATTAACTGTTTAATAACTGTAAACAAAGCCGCCAAAGATTGAGAAAAGATGGACAGGTTCGTAAGTGCTTGAGTAACTGCTTCGTTAATCTGGCGCCTTGTCTTCAAGAAAGAACAGTACATTCTCCGTAAATTCTTAATGCATTGACTTATATTAGATTTTCCTATAAATTATCCCAGAGATAATCCATCACACTTCTAGTTCATTGTTGCCATCTTACCTTCGGGGTAGGTCTGGAGCATGTGTCTATGGGAGTCCACCTCCCTCTCCTTGCCCCAAGTGATGACGTTGGAATGCTCTAAGGAGGGTGTGGAGAAGCCTGCCACCGTCTTGAGGTGGTAGTACTTCCTCAACAGTGATGTCCCCGACACAGTGTCTGACGACTTCAGTGTTTGCATAAAGTCAGTATAGGATTTATAATGTTTGTGTGTATTTCGTGTATTGTCAGCAATGTATATATGAATAAGGGATGATGATGTAGCACATGTGAATAGTGTATGATCTATCTCTATGTGTAGTGTATGATCTCTAGTAAATCTATCTCCTAGCACATGTGAATAGTGTATGATCTCTAGTACATGTAAATATGAATAGTGCATTCTCTCTCTCTCTCTCTCTCTCTCTCTCTCTCTCTCTCTCTCTCTCTCTCTCTCTCTCTCTCTCTCTCTCTCTCTCTCTCTCTCTCTCTCTCTCTCTCTCTCTCTCTGTCTCTCTCTCTGTCTCTCTCTCTTTCTCTCTGTCTCTGTCTCTGTCTCTGTCTCTGTCTCTCTCTCTCTCTCTCTCTCTCTCTCTCTCTCTCTCTCTCTCTCTCTCTCTCTCTCTCTCTCTCTCTCTCTCTCTCTCTCTCTCTCTCTCTCTCTCTCTCTCTCTCTCTCTCTCTCAAAGCAGAGAAGTAGGGAAGCCACAATACAAGACACAGGGCGGTCCAATACAGTAACTAGTATGCCGAGAGGCGTGCGGTACTGACCTTAAAGTTAATCATGTGCGCCGCGCCGCCCAGAGCGCTGGACTCTACAGAAGACACGCCCCGGTACCCACAGTCGTGTAGCTGTGGACACAACCAGGATCTTTATACACACGTCTACTCAAGTTTAACAAATCCAAACTTTAGTTGATTGCTTTTCTGTAAACTTGTAGTCTTACAGTTCGTGACCTATAACTTGTAATTTGTATTTCGGATTCTTCTAAGTTCATTTTTGTTTTGCTCTTGCAAGCCACTCGCCCCTGACACCTAACCTTCCCCCCTTGAGACTGGCGGATAACCCAGAGACTGTGATGTTGACCAGACCACACACTAGAAGGTGAAGGGACGACGACGTTTCGGTCCGTCCTGGACCATTCTCAAGTCGATTGTGACTTGAGAATGGTCCAGTCGACAATCGACTTGAGAATGGTCCCGTCGACAATCGACTTGAGAATGGTCCCGTCGACAATCGACTTGAGAATGGTCCAGGACGGACCGAAACGTCGTCGTCCCTTCACCTTCTAGTGTGTGGTTTGGTCAACATACTTCAGCCACGTTACTGTAACTCGTCGCCTGCACTGTGATGTTATGTAGTGCAGACTGTGAAGAGAGGGAGAGATCTTACGGAGAAGTCGAGAGTGTCGGTGTTGTCGTGGGTGAGGTCCATGTAGTGGCGGAGGATCTGCTTGTAGATGTGGGAGTTGGTAGCCACCGTCATCGGATACCAAGTCTGCACCAGCAGCGTCTGCAGCAATGTTATCATTCTTAAGTCACACTTCTGTAAACTCAGTCATTTGAGTAATACCTCCTTAATTTACATTATTATTTATACAACATATATTCTTATATCGAGACTTCGTTTACACACGAAATTTACGCATTTCCAACAAATCTCTTCGAGTCTAACACGGTGGTTCTGTCGTAGTGTACTAGTCAGCCATTATATAATATGGTTGACTAGTACATTACATAATATTGCTAGCAATATGAAGGTAAACATATCGCAATGATCAACATTATGATGACTTTGGCGAATCAAAACTCAGCATTAATAAGTCGGGGAACCTAACTAGGCTTCCCTCTGCCATGAAGCGAGGCTTCACACATCACATTGTGGGAGGATTAGAAACCATGCTATTTGGTCAAATCTACAAGGGCCGTGACGAGGATTTGAACCTACGTCCGAGAGCATCCCAGACGCTGCCTTAATCGACTGAGCTACGACATGGTAGCTCAGTTCTCACGGCCCTTGTGGATTTGTTCATTTGATACATCACGCTATTGTGATTTCTGTGTGTAATGTTATTTGGTAGAACAGAAGAAGAATTGTATATCCATTTAGCTCACTAAGCGGGGCATAAAATGCACGAAATCTTTGTAATATGACAAAACATGCTAGCACTTTGGCCGGGATTGAGAGAACACTTACGAGGTATGCACTACCGATAGCGATCATGGCGCCTTAGTTGGTAATAATTAGAGTTTACGAGGTCGTCCATAACACGAGTGTAAGAGGTACAGGTCTCGTAAGTGTAGACGTGAGTGCCGTCGTACACCTGGCTTACGACCTCGTACTTACCTCGAAGAAGCCGGTGACCCAGGGAAGAGCCGGGTCGGTATTCTCCACGGTAAAGAGGACGTTCTTTGTAGGGACGACCGTGCCCTCGGGTACAGCCTTGACGCGCAGGGGCAGCCGACCCCCGTGATGCTGGTGAAGGGGCACCATGGGCACACACGACGGTGGTGGGCGCCATTGGAGGTGAGAGAAAGAAGAGGATATTCAGCAAGGCAAAGACGATATTAGCTTGAAGTAAACAAATGCTAAGTAACAACAGCAAGTTGGAAAAAAGTATTTTAGAAAAAAGACTTAAAATTGAATATCGCAAAATTATCCAAAATAAAGAAAACGTGTACATTGCTATAACATGTGAAATTATATTACTGCATATTAAATTTTCTCCAGAATATATGCAAGACATTGCAAAGAATTAGAGTGATTAAATACAAGGAAAATTAAACTAGCTATATTTTGTCTCACTATCCAAATGAGCTGAGTTGCATATTGGCATTGATGATGCTCTGATCGCCTTAATTCATACGAAACTAATTAGCTGTCATCGCTTCACCTCGACCAGATAGTTCCAGCCTTCTTCGTTGAAGACATCGTCCCTCTTGAAGACAGCGTTGATGACCTCCTTGGCTTCCTCCACCATGGCTCGTGTCACCACTGGCCCACACAACCATCGCTTCAGTATGTACTGCAGCCCGAAGAACACCGTGTACGGAAACCTGTCGGACCCAACTGCAGTGAAAATCTGTCGGAGCAAGTCCGTCTGCTGTAGGTAGTAGATGTACATGATTGTAAACTTTGGATGGGTGTGAGGTTTGGACGTCCCATTTGATAAGTTTTCCCAAACAGATCATTGACATATATGTCGAGATTATTCGCGTTTACGTAAAGACAGATTATCGCCGTATACGGGTTCCCAGCATATTATCTGAGTATGTATGACCTTGACAGATTATTCATTTATACATGCTTCCAGCAGATTATTCGCTTACACATGCTTCTGACAGATTATTTGTCTATACATGACTTGGCAGATAATTCACATCCTTCGTCTTATCACTGGCACCTACTTGCTCCATCATGGGTTACCTTGAGGTGTTCTCGGGGCTTGGCATCCCCGAGGCCCGGTCCTCGACCAGGCCTGGGTTGACCAAGTACTTGTTTCTTTCAGCACTGACACAATTTATCTCTCACAAGCACTTGTCACGCTACAGATAGTTATGAAAGGACTGGTACTCACCTGCCGCCTCTGGACTCGAAATAAGCGTAGAGTGTGGTAGTGCCAGGAGGGTAGAGCTTGTAGTGAGACGACTGTAGGGAAGATCACATGTTTGGGTGCCATGAATACTTAATGTGGAACTGCACCAAAATAAATTGTTTCGCAACATTATATATATTACAGTATATTCTTTATACTCATTTAGTATTAAGTATTAGTCATTAAAGTTTTTCCTGCCCGAAACGCTTTGCGTAATAGTGGCTTTAGGCATTGTATGTACTAGCTCTATCTATAAATCTATCAATTTATGTAAAATCTCTTGTATGTATGTATCTTACCTGAATAAACATTTTACTTTATTTTTATTATTTTTTATTAACAAGAGTGACGGAAATCTGCGACCTATGCTCGCAAGCTTAACCCTTAGACGACGGCTTACGTCATGTGATGTATTTCAGTTCATCCAGATTAAGTTCTGCATGCGTCTTATGAATTTTTCACTATAGAAATGCAAGAAAACTGGGTTTTGATTGTAAATTGTTATAAATACAATGATTTTTACATCAGGCTATTATTTCTTAGTAAATTATAAACTTTGCTACTGTACATCAAAGTAATTAATTATAAGAATTTTCAGTCCATACCGTTTTGGTAGTACTTATAGTAACGATGAGGCATAGTACATATACCGTCGTACAACACAATTAGAAAGTAGAAATAGTCACGGTTGAGTTGGACAAACCAGAAAACTATTTTCTACTTATGTTTGAAAGACAAACTAAACTAAATTAACCTAATCTTCCTAGGCCTAATAAATGACTATCTGAGGCCCTAATACAGTACATATACGTGCTATACTAGGCCTAGGAATATTTAAGTTTGTTTTCTTAGCTTAATTTTTTCAGATTCAATAAAGTGAATAGTACCAAAGTTCTACTATTTTATTGCTTACAACGTCAATCTTTGTACTATGGTGCACATAGTTACAAGAACTATTATCTAAACAGGAGAATGGGTTGGAATTTTCAAGCGTGTAGCACTATCACAATAACAAAATAATAATAAGACCATTTCCGTTTTCTTTGAATCCTACAATAACTGAAAGCGAAAAATTAAGGTATCCAAATTTTAGGACTTGACATGAATATCAGAATGTAATGATTTTGAAATTCTACATATATAAAAGTAATTTTTTTAATATTTTAAATGAGCAAAAACGAAACTGGTGACCCTAAGGCCGAGAGAATCGGGCATTTCAAGGGTTAACTACCCTGAGACTAATGTTTAACTGATAATTACCTAAGTGTAGTTACAGGATGAGAGCTACGCTCGTGGTGTCCCGTCTTCCCAGCACTCTTTGTCATATAACGCTTTGAAACTACTGACGGTCTTCTCCTGGTCAACAAAGGTGTCCAGCAGCTGGACACCCTCATAAAGACTGTGAAGCAGTATCCTCCCCCGCGATAACAGCTTGATGGTTAAATGCAACCTCAGAATACTGAGAAAAAAAAATTGTACCACTTACGGGCTATTCATGCCCGTGCCACCTCTTGGGTGGCTTAATCTTTATCTATCAATCAATCACTGACGGTCTTGGCCTCCACCACCTTCTCACCTAACTTGTTCCAACCGTCTACCACTCTGTTTGCGAAAGTAAATTTTCTTATATTTCTTCGGCATCTGTGTTTAGCTAGTTTAAATCTATGACCTCTTGTTCTTAAAGTTCCAGGTCTCAGGAAATCTTCCCTATCGATTTTATCAATTCCTGTTACTACTTTGTATGTAGTGATCATATCACCTCTTTTTCTTCTCTCTTCTAGTTTTGGCATATTTAATGCCTCTAACCTCTCCTCGTAGCTCTTGCCCTTCAATTCTGGGAGCCACTTAGTAGCATGTCTTTGCACCTTTTCCAGTTTGTTGATGTGCTTCTTAAGATATGGGCATCACACAACCGCTGCATATTCTAGCTTTGGCCTAACAAAAGTCGTGAACAATTTCTTTAGTATATCGCCATCCATGTATTTAAAAGCAATTCTGAAGTTAGAAATCGTGGCATAGGCTCCTCGCACAATATTCTTTATGTGGTCCTCAGGTGATAGTTTTCTAGATATGGGGTACTACTCAACTCAAATCAACTCAACTACTCCAAATCTACTACAAATTACAACTACTACAAATCAACTACTACAAATCAACTACTCAACTCAACTACCCCTTACTCAAATCTCTGAATATGTTAGACATTAAGTCACTGCACATTCTCTCATGTGTATTATACATATATAAAACGCTGAACTGTAATGCCAATCCTGACCTCAAAAGCTTCAATGAAGGTTGTAACAGAACCCATGAGCACCACACCAGAAATAAATACAGTTTTGATATTCCAAGAGTACGACTTAATCAAACTAGAAATGCTCTGCAGATCAAGGGACCCAGAATGTGGAATGACCTTCCCAACCATGTTAAAGACTGTACCTCTCTTAACCAGTTTAAGATAAAAACGAAGCACTACCTAATAAATTCCCTGTAACCTACCTTACCCCTCTATTGTCAACCCAAGTCTGTTTTTTTTTTAAACAACGCTGTTTGTTCGACCTATTTGTATCTGTGCTGCTTTTTCAGCCATGTTCCCCCCTTTTTATCTTTATTTTTTAATTGTTCTCAACACATTTTATTCTTTATACTCAATTAGTATTAAGCTTTAGTCATTAATGTTTTTCCTGCCCGAAACGCTTTGCGTAATAGTGGCTTTAGGCATTGTATGTACTAGCTCTATCTATAAATCGATCAATCTTTGTAAAATCTCTTGTATGTATGTACCTTACCTAAATAAACATTTATTTATTTTATTTATTTATTTATTTATTTATTTATTTATTTATTTATTTATTTATTTAAATATTTCTCCACACTATATATGTTGAACTAGGACTTAGTCAATATTATATATAATACAAGAAGGGGTAACCGGTGATACCCGGGTCTCTGTGTGCATGTAGGATCAGGTTGTTAAATAATTGTTAACCAGCCTATCAGTTATGGGTGAACACGAGCGAATAGTTACGGATTGGAGGCGAGGAGTCACAATAACGTGGCTGAAGTATGTTGACCAAACCACACACTAGAAAATGAAGGGACGACGACGTTTCGGTCCGTCCTGGACCATTCTCAAGTCGATTGTGTCAGGTCAATAATCGACTTGAGAATGGTCCAGGACGGACCGAAACGTCGTCGTTCACTTTCTAGTGTGTGGATTGGTCAACGTTACCGATTGGTGTCCAATGGATTCGAGCCCCGTTTCACTGTCATCCTTGTAAACACCTATATACACCTGTCATCCTCCCCTCTGTCTAATGTTCGTTGTATTCAAGATTTGTATGATAAAGAATTATTATTATTGTTGTTCAGACAGATTTGGAACAATTTGCATTAGTTATGACGAATAAAGCGTCCTGTTCTGATTACGAACAAACTATTAACCACCCGCGAAAAGCATAACCTACAACTATATAAATTTACAATAGCTGCACTACACTTCGGTCGACAGTCGCGGGTATATCACACTATAACGCAAACACAAATAAGTTAATATAACAATTACACTCAATATTATTTGTGACTTGTTGTTAGACGTCCTACCTTATAACAGTCGGCCAGAAGGATGACATTATCAACAGCTCCGGCAGACATTGTCCTCTGTGGGGCCCAGCAGGGAGCTGAATGATCAACTCTGCTCCGCTGTCTGGCCTTCAGACTCCTGCTGTCTTGCCTTGTTGACACTTTTAGTCTGCGATTTCATTTCCCTGCCATAGACGATGGTATTTCTTGTCTGGTATAGAAGAACAAAGTGTAATTTTATAACGGGTTTGTTGTGGGAATTGTGTGTAGTGATTATGTATGGTGTTTACGTGCTAAAATGAGGCTCTGACACTCCTGTTGTGTGTGGAGGATGCACACAGTAGCGTTCATTAGTGCCGCGAGCCCCGCCGTTACCAACACCACACAATGTAATGTGTGTGGAGGATGCACACATTAGCGTTCATTAGTGCCGCGAGCCCCGCCGTTACCAACACCACACAATGTAATGTGTGTGGAGGATGCACACATTAGCGTTCATTTGTGCCGCGAGCCCCGCCGTTACCAACACCACACAATGTAATGTGTGTGGAGGATGCACACATTAGCGTTCATTTGTGCCGCGAGCCCCGCCGTTACCAACACCACACAATGTAATATCCGAAACCCACATTACTAGCTTTGTATTTGGTCGTAAATTATAATGGCAGTAAATTGTTATGGGGTTCAGTCCCTGAGCCCATTATGTGCCTCTGTAACACTTTCCACTACGACACACACGATGGGTATGGGATGTATAATAACTGAACTAAATTAAAGAGACAATTCGAAAAAAATCACAGGAATAATTGCGAGGGCTTTGGTAAGCCGTCGGCTTTCTGTCCCCATTGAATCACTATTGAGATGGTGGCCCTCAGTTAAATCTAGGTAAATAATTTAAAGTACGATAATGTGTGAAATATATAATATATATATATTTGACCTTCTGAAGATGTATTTAATATACGAAAGTACTTAAGGAAATTTCCTGTTTCATTTTTCCTCCGTGGTCTGACATTGTCACATTCTTAATCACGTGTTTATTCGTGATATTCGTGATACACACACACACACACACATATATATATATATATATATATATATATATATATATATATATATATATATATATATATAATTTCATGGAGTTGAAATGAAAGCACCAGTATAACGGAGAATTTTATTATATTATATATTATATAATATAATGTTACCATGAACCATGAAACGAAAGGAATGGAATTATCAGGAGAAAGCGCTTAGACTATAGCACTTGGAAGGGGTCAGGTTAAGGATTTGGGATGGGACGGGGGGAAAGAATGGTGCCCAACCACTTGGACGGTCGGGGATTGAACGCCGATCTGCATGAAGCGAGACTCGCTCTACCATCTAGCCAAAGTGGTTGACATGAAAGCACCAGTATAAAAAGTTATGGTCTGTTTAGGTCTGGTAATTCAGGACCTACTTGTAAAAATGTCCGAGAACGGAGAACTTTTAATGGACTTGTAGCAAGTAACCCTTATACTCGCTCCATTATCTCATTATCTTAATGGCGTAACTAATTAACGCTAACTACATAAGCTATAATCCTATCCCTAATTACAGGTAACAGTTCTCACATTTAGTACCCAGATGAGCCACAGAGACGTTAGAAAGAATTTTTTCAGTGTCAGAGTAGTTAATAAAAGTAATACATTAGGCAGTGATGTGGTGGAGGCTGACTCCATACACAATTTCAAATGTAGATATGATAGACCCCAGTAGGCTCAGGAACCTGTACACCTGTTGATTAACAGTTGAGAGGCTGATAGGAGGAACAAATCCACAAGGGCCGTGACGAGGATTGGAACCTGCATCCGGGAGCATCCCAGACACTGCCTTAATCGACTGAGCTACGGCAGGGTTAAAAGAGTTGAAACCGAAGTTCTACTAAACTTATTGGATCTCGTAGCCTCTCCGAGGCAGGTTTTTACACAACTCTCCCCTGCACCCGAGCTATGTCAATAGGCCGTTCTCCCTCTTCGCCCTTACATCATTGTGTGATCTCTGTGTGTTAGGATAGGAGGATGTGAAAACAGTCACATGTAATTAGGGATAGGATTATAGCTTGTGTAGTTAGTGCTAATTAACAGTCCCCGTGGTGCAGTGGTAAGACACTCGCCTGGCGTTCCACGAGCGCTTTGTCATGGGTTCGTATCCTGGCCGGGGAGGATTTACTGGGCGCAAATCCTTAACTGTAGCCTCTGTTTAACTCAACAGTAAAATGAGTACTTAGTTGTAACAACGATTCTTCGCGGCGGGGATCGTATTCCAGGGACCTGCCCGAAACGCTACGCGTACTAGTGGCTGTACAAGAATGTAACAACTCTTGTATATATCTAAAAAAAAAACAATAGTTACGCCATTAAGATAATGAGATAATGGAGCGAGTATAAGGATTGCTCGCTACAGACTACACGTTCCAAGAAGTCCAGATTAGGTTCCTGGAGGAGGATAGAGATTATTAGATTGGTGTTTGCACCAGTGGGATGGGCGTCTTATGAGGCTTTCAGAACTAATGGGTACTAATGGTGAACTAATGTTTAAACCTATTGTGAGCTACCAAGGTCACATTTTCTAAGCCTATTCTTACCCATTAGGCTTTTGATGATAATGATAATGAGATAATGGAGCGAGTATAAGGATTACTCGCTACAGACTACACGTTCCAAGAAGTCCAGATTAGGTTCCTGGAGGAGGATAGAGATTATTAGATTGGTGTTTGCACCAGTGGGATGGGCGTCTTATGAGGCTTTCAGAACTAATGGGTACTAATGATGAACTAATGTTTAAACCTATTGTGAGCTACCAAGGGCTTTAGGTCACATTTTCTAAGCCTATTCTTACCCATTAGGCTTTTAAAAGTTAATTTAAGTCTAGTCGAGTCTGCTGGCGAGGCTATATAAATATTGTATAATGATGGAGGAAATTTTGTCTGAAATATTCCTTGTTAGGCAAGAACTGAGGGGAAAGGTCGGCACAGCAAACATCGTCATGTTAAAGGCCTATTAACGCCTGGAGGGTTATTATAAGGCCATCACAATACTGACAAACTAGTTATTATATTAAAAACCTGAATATATTCCATGTTAAAAATTTTTTTTGCAGCATTTAATACACCTCGATCTCAGTGTATATATTAAAAAAAAAGGACATCTATATATAAAACCGATAACATATGTAACTTTCACACATCTACATAGTAAAATCACAATATATAACACATGTATATAATGAAGTACATAACAAACGATGAGTCACAATAACGTGGTTGAAATATGTTGACCAAACCACACACTAGAAAGTGAAGGGACGACGACGTTTCGGTCCGTCCTGGTATGTGCCCACCGTCCCATCCCAAAATCCTTATCCTGAATCCTTCCCAGTGCTATATAGTCGTAATAATAGCGAAGTCTATTTTACGGGCTCACCATAGCCCGTGCTACATGGACACTTCGTTCTGAGTTGCTAAATCTGAAACAACAACAACAACGAACTCTATTACACGCAGGGTGCAGTCGAACCTCCACAGATCTCCAGTATCAGCTCTTGATACTGATAATGGTACAAAAGGGCCACCACTTACGGGCTATTCATGCCCGTGCCACCTTTTGGGTGGCTTAATCTTCATCAATCAATCAGAAGTCTATTATTACGTCGAGGGAAATAGCGAAGTCTCTGAGGCGTCGAAGGAAATAGCGAAGTCTCCGAGGCGTCGAGAGAAATAGCGAAGTCTCCGAGGCGTCGAGGGGGAACGTTTTCTGCGGCGCTGAGACTTGGCCCCGTCAACAAGTCGACCACAACTCTACTTCCACTAACCCCGTCAACACCTCTACCTCTACCCTCGCTAATATCACACACAATCCACCCAATCCGCCTACGTAGAGGTCAGTGACTTATGTGTGCGTCTATTTTGAGTGTCGGGATTATAGTTGATTAACTTGCCGTGGTGTATTTTGACTACTGCAGGGGAGGTCGCTGAGGCCATCTGTATTTTAACGGTACACTTACAATCTTCACACACAAAAAAGGGGGTTCCTGTTCATTATCACTGCTACTGGCACCGGACAATACATACATGGTATGTGGGTTAATATAACTAATTCTATTAACCAAGCATCGTAGATTACTATTTACACTTCTAATCAGTTATTAACCATAATTCACCAATTTCTTCTATTCCCCAACTCGAGGGAACGTAGCCTAACTTAAGGGAACTAACTCAAAGGAACGTAGCCTAGCTCAAGGGAACTAACTCTAGGGGAACTAACTCTAGGAGAACTAACTCGAGGGAACGTGGCCTAACTCGAGGGAACGTGGCCTAACTCGAGGGAACGTGGCCTAACTCGAGGGAACGTGACCTAACTCGAGGGAACGTGACCTAACTCGAGGGAACGTGACCTAACTCGAGGGAACGTGACCTAACTCGAGGGAACGTGACCTAACTCGAGGGAACGTGACCTAACTCGAGGGAACGTGACCTAACTCGAGGGAACGTGACCTAACTCGAGGGAACGTGACCTAACTCGAGGGAACGTGACCTAACTCGAGGGAACGTGGCCTAACTCGAGGGAACGTGGCCTAACTCGAGGGAACGTGGCCTAACTCGAGGGAACGTGACCTAACTCGAGGGAACGTGGCCTAACTCGAGGGAACGTGGCCTAACTCGAGGGAACGTGGCCTAACACGAGGGAACGTGACCTAACTCGAGGGAACGTGACCTAACTCGAGGGAACGTGACCTAACTCGAGGGAACGTGACCTAACTCGAGGGAACGTGGCCTAACTCGAGGGAACGTGGCCTAACTCGAGGGAACGTGGCCTAACTCGAGGGAACGTGGCCTAACTCGAGGGAACGTGGCCTAACTCGAGGGAACGTGGCCTAACTCGAGGGAACGTGGCCTAACTCGAGGGAACGTGGCCTAACTCGAGGGAACGTGGCCTAACTCGAGGGAACGTGGCCTAACTCGAGGGAACGTGGCCTAACTCGAGGGAACGTGGCCTAACTCGAGGGAACGTGGCCTAACTCGAGGGAACGTGGCCTAACTCGAGGGAACGTGGCCTAACTCGAGGGAACGTGGCCTAACTCGAGGGAACGTGGCCTAACTCGAGGGAACGTGGCCTAACTCGAGGGAACGTGGCCTAACTCGAGGGAACGTGGCCTAACTCGAGGGAACGTGGCCTATCTCGAGGGAACGTGACCTATCTCGAGGGAACGTGGCCTATCTCAAGGGAACGTGGCCTATCTCAAGGGAGTGAATGGAGATGGGAGATGGAAAATAAAGG